ATAATATTATAGAACTAGAAAACATAGACGTACTTCTAGAACTAGACTAGTTATAAAGATATAACTCTAATATTAGTTAGATTAGGTTAGAACTCTAAGAAAGGTCTAAAGTAGTATAGAAGGCTAGAGCAAGATACTACCTAAGAGCTTATTAAAAGCTAGAGGTAAAGATTAGAAGAATATTGTTTATAGGTTTAACAAAATAGGTAAAAAAATAACCTTAAGACGTTAGCGTTATATAGATACGAAAGCTATAACCTAATATAAAGCAACTACCTTAGAAGGTTAAGAAAGACTACAAGAAGTTCGCGTTATTATTTAATAGACAGAATAATAGCGTTTTACCTAAACACAAACTATAGAACTATAAGATACCTATAGAAGATAAAGCTACGCTAAAACTAGAGCTAATATACCTACTTAGCTATAAGTAAAGAGAGAAACTCTAAAGATATCTAAAAAGACTTCTATAAAAAGAATATATTTAAGAAAGCTAAAGCCTAATAGCCTTACTAGTACTATTTATACCTAAGAAAAACAAATAGTTAAGGTTATATATTAACTACTAATAGCTTAACTAGGTAACCTAAAAAAACTAATATCTACTACCTATAATCTTAGAACTTATAGACTAGCTTATAGAGACGTAGTAGTTTATAAAGTTTAATATTTAAGAAGAATACTACTAGATATAAATTAAGAAAGGCTATAAATAGAAAATAGCCTTTAGAATAAGAGAAGGTCTATATAAATACCTAGTTATGCTATTTAGACTTACTAATACACTAGTAATATTCTAAAGTATAATTAACGTAGTATTATATAAATACCTAGAAAGGTTTACTACAGCCTACCTAGACGACGTACTTATATACTTAAAAGAAAAATTAGAAGAATATAAGAACTACGTATAGAAAATACTATAGAAGCTTAGAAAGTATAGACTTCTAATAGCTTCTAATAAGAGTAAGTTCTATTACACAGAGACTAGCTACTTAGAATTCTACCTAACCTAAGAGGGAATTTAGATAGAAACAGATAAGGTCTAGGTAGTTCTAGACTAGCCTATACTCTAGATAGTAAAAGAAGTACAATTCTTTCTAGAATTTGCGAACTACTACTAGAAATTTATCTAAGAGTATTTATAGATTACTACTCTACTTATAAAGATTACTAAAAAGAACTAAGAGTTTAGGTAGGTAGACCTATAGTAATAAGCGTTTAAAACGCTAAAATAAACGTTTACTACTATACTACTACTACAAACGTTTAATAAGAATAAACTAATATAGGTAGAAACAAATACGTTAGACTAAGCTCTAGAGATATGCCTTAGTTAATCTAGAGAAGATAGTAAATACTAACTATACTTCTTCTACTTAAGAAAGTTCTTAGTACTAGAAATTAACTATAATATATATAACAAAGAACTTATAGCTATTATAGTAGTAATAAAAGAATAGAGAATATACTTAGAAGGCGCTAAATACTCTATTAATATAGTATTAAACTACAAGAACCTTATAGCGTTTATAACAACAAAAACGCTAAATTAACAATAAGTTAGATAGGTAGAAACGCTAGCTACACTAGACTTTATAATCTAACACTAGAAAGGTACTAAAAATAAAGCCGCGAACGTACTTAGCTATAGAGCTAACTACGTAGACGCTATAAAAAAGAAATATAAAGCTGTACTCTACACTAGACTAGATAAAACTCTAGAATATAATAGACTATAGGTTAGCTAGATTATAGAGATTAGAGACTAGTAGAATAATAGGCTAGAACTACCTAATAGTTAAGAATAATAGAAAGTACTAGAAATACTATAAATAGAATTTCTCTAGAAATTCTATAGTATAATAACGCATAGGTACTAAGAAATTAAACGTACTCTTAAGAGACTATAGTAAGAATATAGATTTCTCGCGATAAAGAAAAAAGTTATAAAAATAATATAGAAGTATATAGAATACTAATAAAATAAGGTAATTAGGTACTAACTATATAAACTACTATAACTACTAGAACTACCTATAGTACTATAGTAACACGTTACTATAAACTTTATTATAAAACTACCTAGATTAATTAAACTCGCGTTATAAAGAAAGTATAATACTATCTTAGTAATTATAGACTAATTTACTAAGTACGCCTACTTCTACGCAACTAGTAAAACCTTTAAGGCTAAAGAACTAGCTTATAAGGTAAGCTAATAATTATTTAGCTAATATAGAATACTAGAACAAGTTACTATAGATAGAGACAAGTTATTTACGTCTAAGTTCTAGAACGCGCTACTTAACTAAATAGAAATAAGTAACTAAATGTTAACTAGCTTTTACCTATAGACTAATAGTTAAATAGAATAAATAAACTAAACTCTAGAGAAATACCTAAGAAACTACGTTAACTAGAAATAAGATAACTAGGTTAAACTACTATCTATAGCATAATTAGCGTACAATATAGTAAAACAAGAAACTATAGAGATAACTCTCTATTAAGCATGTTATAGATATAAGGCTAGAATATATAGATTCTTAATATATACAGCTATAATCTCTCTAAAGGTAGAGAAAAAAGAACGCTAAATAAGAATAATCTATAATAAACTATAGAAAATAGTAGAAAAGATAACTTAATAAGTAAATAAGAAAAGAATTAAGAGACTAACCTTTAAGAAAAGAGGTAAAGCTTTTATTTTATAAAAAAACTTGCGCACTAAACAACCTAGCAAAAAACTTAACTACCTATAAATTAGACTATTTAAAATAGACAAATAACTTAGACCTATTAGTTTTAGGCTAAGACTACTACTAATAATAAGAATACACCCTATATTCTACAAGTCTAAACTTAAGCTAGCACTTGCTAACGTACTACTTAATAAGTGTACTAAGGTAGAACTAGACTAGAACTATAAGGTTAAAAGAATACTAGATAAAAGGCGTATATAAGGTTAGTAGAAGTACTAGGTTAGGTAGAAAGAATACCTACTAGAGAAGAACACCTAGAAACTACTAGAGAACCTTAAGAATTACTCTAAGAAACTTAAGAAGTTTTGTTAGTACTACTAACTCTAAAACCTAGAGACTAGAACTCTAGGTTCTCTAGATAACTCTAGTTAAATAACTAAAGAGGATTAACTAAAGAAACAGAGGGTTATAGTAGTAAGAGTTACTATACCTCTTGCTCTAGACGCTCTAACTCTTTAATGTTAGCTAGGTTCTAGGCAAGCAGCGCGTCGCAATAACGCTGCATTAGCTCTAGTTACTTCTAGAGACAGTTACTACGCGCTACAGCGGCACATTATAACTTAGCTAAAGCAGCCTCTTACTAACGCCACGACTTAGTAAGCCGCTCTACTATAGAACTAGCCTTAGACTACTAAGCACAAAGATTAACTATTAGCTAATTAAGTTTCTCTACCTCTTTTAGGTCTAACACCTTGTTATAGAAACGACTCTTCGCGATATACTCTAAACAACAACCTAAGAACACCTTTACAACGCAACGCAGGTTACGGGAATAGTAAGCGCCGTAAGAGTTGTTAGACATATTAGCGCTAGTGCGCAGAACGAGGTTAGCGCGACAGTAATAATAGGCTGTTAAAGACTTAGCACGCGCAGGCGGCATAGTAAGAATAGAAAGAAAAGAGAGAATACGATACTATAGGATTATAGGCAGTACTACTCTTATATAAGAATAGCACAGAATAATAAAATACTGCACCTAGGAAAAGAATAGAGCTTTAGAATAACGCTTAGAAAGAAGAGGCGAGTGTTATAATTACAGGATTAGGAACAGAGCTAGCTAACTAGAATAGAGAAAACGGTAGGCTAAGCCTAGAGTTATAGAACAAGAGATTACGTGTAGAATTACAGGAATAATTAGAGCTACGTAACGTAAATTAGATAGGCTAGACGTAAGCTAGATAGGTTAGGTCTAATCTATAAGAGCTAGAGTCTTAGCACCTAATCTAGCTAAGAAGGCACATATATATAACTAGAAGAAGCTTGCTTCTTATAGCTTCTTATAGTTATTACTTTATTTATTAAATTACTATAGAGACTTGCGATTTACAGTATTATTACCTCTACCCCTTTGTTACTAAAGATTCTAGCCTAAAGCACACCCCTTGCCTTCTCTTACGAAAGTAAGCCTTAGTCTTAGTTAAGAGGATAGCTTGTAACAACTACAAGAAATATCTATATAGGCGCCAAGGCGCTAGCAAGGCGCTAGCCGCCGTTACGTAAGTAGTATCTAAACCTAAACCTATATTAGTACTATAATAATAGGTAAGTAGAACTTTAGTATTAGTATTACGTCTTAGTTACTTAGTGTTAGGTAGTACGCGTTAATATTGCATAGGTATAGAGTGCGAAAGAGGTCGCACGCTTCTGCCTTAGTAATAGGCGAGAAGTAGAGATAGACAGTTATAAGAACAGAGCGCTAGCAGAAGTACAGGCTTACGTAGAAGAGCTTCTTGTTAGTTAGCAGAGGCGTTAACAGCGAGTCTGCTAAGTTAGAAGACAGTGTAATATGTTAATGCGCTGTTAGAGAAGTCTATAATATAGCATAGCCGTAAGTTGTGCTATATCGCAAAGGTTGCTAAATACTATCGCGTAGACAGACAAGCTATACGCTTAAGTTAACTTAGCAGCAGCGCTATATATTTGCTAGAAGATATAACATATATGTGGCTAGTGCTGCTCTACGGGCGAGCCCTCAACACTAAGTTAAAACAAGTCCCTGCTCCCGCACCTTGGCCGGGCCTAATTTAGCCCCCCTAGGTCCTATTCCAATTCCCGCTGTGGAGCCTTTTTTGTCCCTAGAAGGGACCTAGCCCAGATCTACGCAACTCTAGGGCGACCGCTAGAGCGAGCTCCGCTAACACCGTAAGTTAATACTAGCACGTCCTAAGGCCCCTTCATGCGTACTAACAAACTGCTCTAGCTCCGCAACCCTCTAGCCGGTGCGGGTCGGCCGTCCTCTCTGCTAGCGTCACCAAGGTGTTCGTCCGCTTCTCAAGGAATAAGCATATTCAGCCTAGTTGCATGCGAATTCGCCTTTAGCTGCTGCATGACCTCTGCATGTCAGCCGGCGGTGCCATCAGCCGCACCCCGCCCCTCACGAAAGTAAAGCTCACAACACTCTTGCGCTGTCTTTCTCTCAGATGCAGTTTTCGGTATAGCTCGTTATCTTATGCTCCTGTACGCTTGCTAACCTCAATAGCTAGAAGTAATATTTGGCTTCGGACGTGTGATTTACCATACTCGTCTCTTCCGCAAGGCTGCCGTGTTTGAACCCGACCGAATTTCACTCCTACCGCTTACCACCGTCCAGCTCCCTGCGAAGCAATGCGTCTTTTGCGACGCAGCGATACTGGCGAGTTCAGTCTTACTCAGTTTTGCGACGAGGCCATCCCTCCCTATGCGATACTTCGCATACGTGGGGAGCAGATACCGAGGAGGTCACCTTGGAAGACCTGACAAATGGCACTGGCAAGGATAAGCCTGGATACGAGAAGGTCCGGTTCTGTGGAGAGCAAACTGCACGAGACGACCTGGAATACTTTTGGATTGACACTTGTTGCATTAATAAGTCGAATCACGTCGAACTGTCACAGGCTATCAACTCCATGTTTCGCTGGTACCGCAACGCGACTCGATGCTATGTCTATTTGTCGGATGTAAAGGGCTACTGCATCGACGATGATCTTCATTCACACTGGGATTCGGATCTGGGCACAAGCAGATGGTTTACTCGCGGTTGGACACTCCAGGAGCTCCTTGCACCTCGTTCGGTCGAGTTCTTCTCTTGTGAGCGTATGCGAATAGGTGACAGAAACTCTCTAAAGCAACAGATTCAGCAGATAACGGGTGTTCCTGCCTCCGCGCTTCAAGAAGCTCCTTTGTCTCAATTTAGCATAGAGGAGCGGTTTTTGTGGATGGAACGCCGCCAGACAAAGCTCGCAGAGAATAAAGTTTACGCATTATTGGGAATTCTAGATGTTGAGATCCCCCTTTACTACGGTGAAGGGGCAGGGAATGCATCAAAACGGGTCCGAGAGGTGATTGATAAGCGAGAGAGATGTACCCAGGACTTACGCCTTACCGATCCTCGTGACGACAAGAAGCGTATTGAAGATACGAAAGGTGGCCTTCTAAAGAATTCGTGCTGCTGGATTCTCGAGAACTCTAACTTCCAACAATGGCGCGACAACCAGCAGAGCCGACTGCTATGGATCAGAGGCGACCCCGGCAAGGGAAAGACAATGTTACTCTGTGGATTGAATAGTGTTTGCGATTCATTCAATTCTATATGCAAAGATCTAGGAATATCGGCTTCCTTGCAAGCGTTGGATCAAATGGGAAATGAAGGTAACGCTGCCCGACTATATCGAGATAGGGTTCTAACGTACTCTCAGACATCCAGAACCTGTCGCTTGCACTCGTCTCAGCCCTTCAGATCCTTCCTGCTGCTTGTCTTCTGCGCTCGAAAACTGGAAGTAACCTCTTCAGTCACCTCTCGAAACTTAACTCTGTAATCAGCTCCGACGAATTCGATATAGAACGAATACGGCCTCTGTGGAATGCGATTCTCAATAAGGAACCCGACGACGTTATTTGGAATAAAGCCGAAGCCGCTGTTACCGAATCCTCCCCGCCCCGCCTCATCCATCCAACAAACGCCACGGCTGCACAACACGGGCAGCTTCGCGAACTCTACCGAGCACTGCAAATATGTAAACGGCGTGCTGAAGGAGGAACTAGGACAGCTATACGTTAGGGTCCCTAATTTCTTTGATGCCTACTTCAGAAGCGTTGCGGGTCTAAAGTCGATAGCGCAGGCCGTGTTCGACAAGTGCAAAGAAGGAGATAATCCACTCTACCAAGAAGAGAGTGGCTGGCAGGGCTGGCCTAAAGGCGCGAGGGAACGCGACGTCTTAAGCTAGTTTGCGCCTCTTACTAGCTAGCTCTTAGACCTCGCAGCCGAGAATTAGCCCGCCTCTAGGCCTTAACGGCGGCCGCTGGTACAACCCCACTAGCCCGTGCAAGGCTCCACCGCCAACTGTAAGTTAGATGTTAGCTTTGTAGACAACCTAAGCGCTAGCGTTAACTCTAAGTGCTGTTGGTCGCAGATTCTTATACTAGGAGAACTCAAGAGCAATCTATTAGCAGACAAAGCGTCTAAAGCGTGGCTTGACCTGGGGCGATATGCGAGGGAGGTGTTCGCGGCTCGGCTTTACCCTGTGCGGGTCGCTCATGCATCTTGCCGGGAAACCTCGATTTCCGACACAAGTTGACTTAAAGCCAGCGCCTAGCGGAGAACCGGCTCAATAGATCTAAAAGGGCGCCCCAAATTTCCTCTCTTAGTGGTGGTGCGGAGGTAGCTTCCGTCAGAGGCTGATTGTCCGACAAACGCGGTGTCAGCTCACCCCCCCCCCCCCCCCTTCTTTGCCAACTGAGAGACAAATAGCACTTTCGAGTGAGTAACGCTGAATATAAACGCATAGGAAAACCCATAGAGTTCTTAGTTTGCAGAAACTTGGGTGATGCCCAGAAACTCTAGACAACTCTGATGGTCTTAAGTTGGCTTCTCCTAGTATTCCATCTCGGAAGCACGGGACGTATACTTTGAGGTTGATTGACCTATCAGGCGTTCCTTGGCAAGGATACCAAAATCCTTGATCTTCGATTCGTCCTTGGTATATCGGTACTCCAAAACTTATCAGGAACGTTCCGTGTGAACGCTGGCTCTGGATCGCTTTGAACGCTCTCTTATCATAATTAACGCGAGCTGGATGGGGATCCTCGCTTACGGAGAACTCGATCATCCTGTCTAGTAGATCTTGGTTTTCTAGCTCGACCGGAAACATGCCTAGAAGATAGATATGGAGGCGTCTGCTTCGAGTTGCGCGCCTAGTGTATCGCCCAGGGTCCTTCAGCCTCCCGTGAAATTTAGATACGTCATTTCCTAACAGCACCAATTTCATGCCCCCTTTCAGTAGGCTTTCGAGCTCAGCGATATGAGAGAAGATATCTCGCATCGGGTTCAGGTAGGCATCCCGTTCCTGGTTATCCAAAACGCGACCGAGACAGTAGTCTAGCTTGGCGACGTCCCACGCACAGAGATGCTGCAATATACCCTTGCGGGATTCGTAAGGAACAAGCACATCTATCAAAGTTACGGCCATCCTACCTCGGTGGAGAAAGAGCAAGTCTAGGAGATTGTGGAGGCATTTAAATTACTACCCAAGGCGTTATGGCTATTAATAGTAATAAGAATATGTTCTAAGCAGGTTCGAACAGTGCCACGTTAAAACATGGTGGCTCGGGGATCGCCTTGCTAATTTTACGACGCTCTGTCCTGGATCCACTTTGGGAATCCTGCGAACGGCGTTTTGTTCTCTTACGGAATCCCGCCCCCGACTTAGAAGTCGATTCTAAGTCTTTGGCTATGCGGTTCTCTGATCTAGGGTGTGATAACTGCTTGATGAGTTTGCTGGTACCTATGGATTACGGGTGAGCTTACAATACTTGGTATGTCTGGCCACTCTCTATCTGAGATTCTAAAGGTGTAATACGAATCTTGCTCGGGATTGTAGATGAGAAGTGCAACATCAAGCCCACACAACTTGCCTAGAAAGAAAGCCTTCTTCTCTAGTCCGATCCGTCGCTTTCGCCTTTGGGTATTGCGCTCCTTCGTCGTCTTTTCCGACTCCATCTGCGTTGTGAGGACCTGAATAGGCGTTACGGGTATACTTACCTTGGTAAGGAATGCTTGGTGGTCGGCCCCTACGCTCTAAAATAGACCTGGAGCCAACAAGGCACGGAGGCCAGAACACACGTGCAATACAATGGCTCATCCATCTCATTCAGTAGAAGCCCATCTCAATGAGCCCGACTAGTGCTCAAATCCAACATGATCTATTGGAACATATGGGAGAAAATAGAGCTGAGCGATCACGTAGTGAGAAAATTGATCAGATTGCTCTACATATGAAAGAGATACTGAGATACGTCTTAAACAAACGATCTTGGTAGCTAAGGCGGCCTCACTATAGGCCGATCACATGACCTGAGCTCCGGGAGAACAACACTGCTTTTGTCCGACTCAAACCTACTCATCCAGCCTCATCGACCGTAAGCGTAATCGCGGCAGAGGCCCCACATAACCAGACGTTAACATCTGCAATGCTTATACACCCGAGTCATCAACCACAATGCCATTCTCGTCCGCAAATGCATTCCAATTGCTACACGTTCCCTCGATGCTATCTGCATCCAAAATAGATGGAATCTCACTGATGCGCTCGGCGAATTGGAACGCGAGGCCGCCCCTGCGTCGTTAATTAGTATGTGATGATGGGTAAGACGGTAGCCAACTTACACCGTGTGCCATCCAATGTGGCAGTGCACAAGCCAAGCACCTGGGTTGTCAGTGACCCATGCGAGGACCAAATGACCGCTGGCGGGAAGCATGGCAGTGTCACGACGCGGAGGATTGGTTAACTGGAGTGAAGTCTCGCTGCTATTATAGAGACCATCACCCTGGGCCAAAAGATAGAAATCATGACCGTGGACGTGGATCGGGTGAGCAACGCCGAGAGTCGTCTCGATGATGATGTACGCCCACTCGTTGGCCTCGTCGAGTCGAATAAGGTTCTGTGATGTATCGAAGTCGGTGTCGTTATTGAGGATTTGCAGCACCGTAGGGTCGCCCCATTGCACCATGAGCGAAGAATCGTTGATCGTCCACTTGATGGTACCATCGTCGGCAAAAGACAAACCGACATCCTCCTTCTCCTCGTAGAAGTGAGCCGCGGGCACGTCAAGAGCAACGTGCGGGACGAGGAGGCTCATGTCGAAGTCAAGACAGTCATCATCGAAGTCATACTCGCTCGTGGTCGGGGTCCCTGTAGAACCGCTATAATGGACGATACCTCTGATATTGTCGGCCATGTCGTTCGCCGAGCAGGCCGACTGAGGGATGAAGCGTAGCCAGAAGTCGCTGGCGACGTCGCTTTGGTCTGCATTCACGATGATATCGACCCGTTGGGCTGCCAAGCATGCTGTTAGCACGGTGTAGTTCTCAAACGGAATTGGTCCTCTACTCACCGATACCGATACTCACGATGTTTGTGGTGAATGGTTCGATTGGGACAAGATCGATTGCAATGACGGTCAAAGTATGGTTATCAATCATGAACTTCCAGAAGCTGTCGATGGCAACGTTGATCAGGCGCAGCCGGTACGAGGTCCCGGGCTCGAAGTCGAGCTCGAAGCGTGAACCGGTCTGATTGTCGGCACCGTCGTCACCGAACACATTGGTACCGTTAATGAGACCGTTGTCGGGGGTTGGTATAGCCCCCGTGGCAGCCTGCTGTTGCAAAGAATAGACCGTCTCGTGGAACCAGTCAGCAATGATGATTGGCCCGGCGTCCACATCGTAGTTGGCGGTGGCCGGACCGTTGATGATGATGCTGCCAAAAACTCCTTCCCAGGCTTGGAGCGAGAAATGGGAATGGTACCAAGTGGTGCCGTACTGGGTAGCTCGCATACGATAAGTGAAGGAATCTCCGGGCGCTTGAGCGCACTGTGTGACCGATACGACGCCGTCATTGGGGTTGGTGTAATTCTGTCGAAGTCCGTGCCAGTGGATAGATGTCCCGTTAATGCTAAGATTGTTGATCACATGGATGACGAGCTCGTCTCCCCAGTCAGCTGTAATGGTTGGACCTGGAATGGTGCCGTTCACTGTCATGGCTGTTCGAGTGAAACCATCTGGAGCGACTTCGGTCTCAACAAGCTCTAGCCAGTACTCACGGGTGACGCCAGTGTCAGGGGCTTCATCGTACCAGTTAGTGTCGATCGAGTAATCGCACCAACTGCCACGGTCGTCCGCTGTGTTACCATCGCAGGCAGCTCTCTTGTGAGGCGCGTTCCCAATGACCGCAGCCACTGCTGAATTGGCCATCAACAGAGAGGCTAGCGCTGGAAGTGTGTATCTCAACATTAGAAGCATGTTGAAGATGGATGGGTATCTTGAAGCGGGACAAAATCAAGAGTCAAGTGCTCGATAAAAAAGCGCCAAATACAAAAGAATGTCAAAGAGCAATCAATGTCAACGATGAGATTTAACCCGCCGATGATGCTCATTTTGTGAGGCTCACAGCGTCTTTTGAAGTCCTCCGAAGGCCAGCAAAAGCCCTAATCCTTGAGCTGTTGTCCACTCCATGACGCCTGCAATGAAACCCCCCCTTCATTGACGCGTAAGTACGCATCAAACAAAAAAATAAAACAGGACGACTAGACCATCGCTTCCCGTCTCCTGGGTCGCTTGGTGATGCGGTGCTGTAAGTTATCGACGTCAGCTGTGTATCTTCACCGTGCCCACCGTTCCAGGTTTGGAAATTTTCATTGAATCCTCAGACCGTTGAAGTCCGGCGGATCAGGATCATACTTTACGCTAGCAAAGCGAGATTAGAAGCAAAGTTGCATCTTCTGGTGTCGACTCGTAGAGTGGTGCGCGGCCGCTGTATTGAACTGGGATGACCTAGCGTAGCCATGGTGAATACGGACGTGATGCCAAGCAAAGCAGGTCCTGGGTAAAGAATTGAGAGGCTGCATAATGGTCAAGGCTGCGCAGGCGAGACCTGCTTACCATTGCATTCATAATTCCTATACTCTGAGTGTGGGTCGGCAGACCGTGCTCCTTCCTCTTTCATCATCGTATGTTCCGGAGCTGTGTGGCAAGAATAGCTGCCGACGCGTAATGGGACGACGTAAGGCAAGGAAATATTTGTCCTGCGATAACAACTACCCAGTAGTGGATGTATTTCGCCACCTTTTTCACTCAGCACCTATTTCGTACAACCTACTCTAGGTGTTGCCACATCTTGCCTAATTGAGTCTTGAAAGGCTTGATGATGAACCTATGATCCTATAAAGCTCCGTAAATGTTTACCATTCTGTCGTAAATGCTTTGAAAGACTCGACTTGTCGAACTGACCATCATTGGCTCAGAGGCAATTCCAAGGAGTTGGTTTGTTAATAGCAGTCAAACAAGAACATGTTTCGTGCAACCATTAGGAGAACTACTTCCCAAAATGACATGCACTAATTACATCCTGCAGCTACACGTGGGTTCCCTTGTATCCAGGGGGCTCGGAGCCAACATCGTGCGGATCTAGGATGCACGGTTATGAAGTCAAGCGTGCTCACAGCCAAAGCATGCCCGGAGGATCATGGATTACGAACTGTGGGTCTCGCGTTCAATAGTTCTTTGAACCTTCTGTTGTCCAAACTTAGTGAAAAGGGTTTGGTGATGCGCCATAAACTAGGACGATGTTTGGCCCCAGACGGAACTCTGGCTAACCGATTCTGGATTTCCGTAGCGTGGGTAAACCCCGATATTTTGTGCATGTGAGCAGTGGCCTACACTGCTTTCCGCGGGCATGAACCGGGGTTGCGTCACGCAAACGCGTTCTTTGGGATTTCTCACCCAAAGAAGCCGGGCATGTAGGCAAATTTCGATTACAAAGGACTGTATCAGCAGTTAGGTCCGTGTGCAAAAGGGATAGGGCGAACTAGAGAAGCACGAGGCCAGGTACGCGTGGACTAAAACAGGTGACTACAGAGGTACCTGCATGCCACGGATGTTTTGCTTGGCGTCACGCTGACTCGCTGACTTACGCGGCCCATACCGGTATCATGGGTACTGACTGGGGTCCATTTCGAAACCGCATGGACGCTTTGACCACGAACATCCGTCATCCGCTAGATCGAGCCAGAACGCGTATGTCGATAATGTATAGCTCGAACATGTATAGGTTGCTTCGTGGCGAGTCGATATCTCTTTGATATATAAAGAGAACTTCCTTGAAAAGTTCCAATTTTCTCTATCCTACCTGATTCCATCGTTCTGACAGCCCTTTTACCAAGTGATTCATGATGTTTCTTCGCAAAGCACTTGCTCTTGTTGGCCTTCTGGCTACTGGTTCACTTGCTGCAGTGGCTGGGCTTAAAAGTCGTCAGACTGAACCCTCTAACTTCAAACTCTACGCCTATGGTGGTGACGAGGTTGGTGGCTACGAGATCTTCTACGCTGATGGTGCGTTTGCTCTACTTTCGCACATTTCTAGCAATGCGCAACCTCTCTGACGCAGTACTAAGGACTTGCCTATATTGGCAACAGTTCCGCATTAACCACCGCTACCGAGGCGACAGCAGTCAACTGTAAGGACATGTCTGCGCCATCACAATTGTACCATGCTAACCTGGCTCAGTTACTGCAAGCTCGGATGGCGTCTGGACTGCCACTCCCGCAAGCAACGTGTCTTGGACCTCCCAGACTTTCTTCGTGTCCAACACGACTGGTGAGATTGGTTTTGTCGACAGTACCAACTCTAGCTCCGACATCATTACATCGGGCTTCATGTTCTATGGCAAATTCGCTTTGCTCACTGTTAGAGATCATATGGAGGCTGCGTGGAATGCAAAGAAGACGGATGTCGAGGACGTCTGGAGCTTGGGTTGGGGCAGTGTCGACGAGGACAGCACCGTCAAACCCATCGTGCTCAGGAGTGAGGCCCCAATGCAGAAGCCAGCCAACGCCACTAGCTGAATGCGATCCCTTACTCCAGTCAAGATTCATGGGTGGTGGGTTAGGATGAAGGTCGTATGGTTCAATGCGGGCCGGTGTCTTCGCGATTGACTTTTGTTGTACCCTATCGTATTATCTGATCCTCGATCTCAATTTGATACAGGCTCAGTGAAGTACGATAACGTATCTGTGTCTGATTAAGAGATATCCCCCGCATGGCGAAGTGCGCCCTGGCACGGGCCACCTGTTGATGGCCAATCGGATGATAATGATCGTACAATGCATTAGTGCTGCAACTTTGTGGCCTAGAACATAGAAGGCGATGAAGTGGCACATTGCGTTTACAACTAGCCCGTTAAACGAGAATGCAAGCTATGCCTTATTGGGATACGCTAATCCCCTAATTGGCAGTAGCCTGTTTCCTTCGCTCCCACTTCTTGATCAGACTCGATACAACGGACTCCCAGAGCCTCAGGAATCCGCTAGATTCCACGCCTACTCTTCTTGCCCCTGTCATCGCTCGAACATGGCTCCTCGAAGCGCTGAAGATTCGCCAACGGGGCCGCCCCCGCCACCGCCGCCACCACCCTCATCAAGCACCCGACGGACGGTGTTCCAGATGCCCGTTTTCCACAACGTCGAGGATGTGGACCTGTACCGACCCGGTGGGCACCACCCCGTTAACCTGGGCGACGTGGTCGGACACAAGTTCAAAATCCTTCACAAACTCGGGAACGGAGGGTTCGCTCTTGTCTGGCTGGCTCGGGATTTAGACCAACACAGATACGTTGCGCTCAAAATCCTGAGAGCAGACGCGGAGGACCACGAGACCAAAGTCCTGAAGCATCTTAAAAACGCTGCAGGAAACGTTCGCATTACAAACCTCCACGAAACATTTACCATTCACGGACCTAATGGCGCTCATCAGTGCTTGGTGCTGGACCTCGGTGGGCCAAGCCTGAAGCATCTGAGTATGTACAGCAAACGCCCTCCGCTTCCATTTCGCAAAGCCGCCAGCAGGAAACTGGCAGAAGGCGTTGCAGCCCTCCACTCGGCCGGCGTATGTCACGGCGGTAAGCGCCGGCTCCCCGGGAATTTTTATGGGACTCCGTCCACTCATTAGAACCCAGACCTCACGCATTCCAACGTGCTTTTCGAAATCCCAGGCCTTCATGACTGGACAGAAGATGATATCCATCGCTACCTGGGCCCACCTAAGACGGCTCCACTCCTCCTCCTCGACGGAGCGCCTGCACCAGCATTTGCGCCAACCCACGTCGTCGACGCGCTAGATTACTCCCAGCTCAGCACGGAACAACTATCAAGCAATGTCCTCATAGCCGACTTCAGCGCAGCATTCTCCCACGACAACGCGCCCAAGGGCCTGGGAACCGCCGCGTCCTTCGCCGGCCCGGAGCTGCGTTTCGGGTACCCGCCGTCGCCCGCCGTAGATCTCTGGGCGCTCGGCTGCCTGATTTTCGAGATCCACACCTTTCGCGTGCTCGTACCCACCGCCTTTGGCTCGTCCGAGGAGGCGCTCGCAGTCGCGACTGAAACAGTCGGCGCTCTGCCCGAAGAATGGCGGGATTCCTATGACAGCCCCCTGGAAGCGAACGCAGGCGAGAAGCACCGCTGGTTCGACGACCAGATCCCGCGAGCGCGTACCCTAGACTCTCAAATTCTTGCGCAGCTGCCGAGCAGCACGCCGCCTTTCTGCAGCTCCTGCAGAGCATTCTGGTTTTCGCACCGAGCCGTCGTCGCCCTGCCGTGGAGGTTGGACGGCATGCCTGGTTTGCATGTGAATCGTAATTCAGACGCGAAACCGACAAGCGCGAGATAATGTTGTCTTGAACTGGGAAGATTTTACAAGTTCACACCAAACCCCCCCGACTAACCAGACAACCCGCCGCTCTACCTCAGGCAAATTTATCTTTATAAATATAACATTAAAGGGCCACCTAGATTCTATGCAGAGGCTAAACCGTCCCAGCAACGAGCCATGGGTTGCGCTTAACTAGTTACACTAGCCTTGTAAGACAGCAGACTTCACCTTGCTGGGAATGCCCACCTGGACGGGTCATCGACTCATCGCGTACGCCCGGGCGAGGGAAAACGCCACGTGTCGCAGTAAGTGATGGTGAGAGGAGCGCATCGCCAGAAAAAATTGATGATGAAGCCGGCCTCTTTTTTCTCCGCCATGCGTTAAGCTTCGGTACGCCGGCACAGGCACATGCTTGTCTCTCTGCTCAACCAGATGCAGCATTGATCGTCATCCCTCCTAGGACTAGCATATGCGACTTATCGATAGCCCAGCACCAGTAAGAGACAGAAATGGCAATATCTCATCAGTATATATCTTAGCTCACAAAAGGTAAGAGAACGTAGAAACAAGAAAGGCATTATCCTCCGACTCCCTCAAGCAATCTAAACCTCCAACCAGGCAAAGGCCATCTATCTAGCTCATGACGCCCCCTCCAGTCCTCGCAAGCCCACCTACGTGCCCATGCCGTCCCCCTTCTTGGGCACAATCGGCTCAATATTCCAGATGCTCTCCGCATACTCATCAATGCACCGATCGCTGGAGAAGAAGCCCATGCGCGCCACAGAGGTGATGGCCTTCGTCGTCCACTCCTCCGTGTTCTTGTAGCTCTCGTCAATGAGCTCCTGCGTCTTGATGTAAGACGCAAAGTCGTCGGAAACGAGGTAGTAGTCGCCGTGGTCGACGATACCGTTGAGCAGGGCAGAGAAAGCGTCCGCGTCACCGAAGGTGCCCGAGTGGATCGTGTCGAAGACGGCAGCAAGTTGCGGGTCGAGCTCGTAGTGCTGGTAGAGATGGGAGTGGCGGAGCTCGTCGACGTCTTCAGCAAGATTGCCGAAGAGGAAGATGTTCTGCTCCCCAATCTCGCGGGTGATCTCGATATTGGCACCGTCGCAAGTACCGATGATCAGACCGCCGTTCAGACAGAACTTCATGTTGCTCGTACCACTCGCCTCCGTGCCAGCGGTAGAGATGTGCTCGCTAATGTCGCTCGCCGGGCAGATAATCTCCGCCTTACTGACGTTGTAGTCTTCCAGAAAGATGACTTTGAGCAGATCCCCGACATCCGGATCCTTGTTGACCACCTTGCCGACTTGGTTGATGAGATGGATGACGGTCTTGGCCATCCAGTAACCCGGGGCAGCCTTACCACCGAAGATGGAGACGCGGGGAGCTAGCTTCTTCTTCTCTTCCGCCGTCATCTGTTTGATCTTGAGGTAGCGGTGGATGACCCCGAAGATGTTGAGTTGCTGGCGCTTGTACTCGTGCATACGCTTCACTTGCACGTCGAACAGCGCAGCAGGGTTTACGGTGACGCCATTGCTCTCCTTGATATGTTTCGCAAGTCGCACCTTATTCGCGTACTTGATCTCGCGGAATTCCTTCCGGAAGTCCTTGTCGTCAACGAACGCCTCCAGCTTGTGAAGCAGAGTCAGATCCTTCAGGAATTCGTAACCGCCCAGCTTCGAAGCAATCAGCTCGGACAGCCTTGGATTCGCCTGGTGGAGCCATCTCCGGGGAGTGATGCCGTTGGTGACATTGGTGAATTTGTCCGGGCCGAAGATCTTGACGAAGTCTTTGAAAATGGTCGTCTTGATCAAGTCCGAATGGAGCTCGGCGACACCGTTGACCTTGTGCGAGCCGATTAGGGCAAGGAAGGCCATGCGAACCATCTTGGGGTTTGACTCCTCGATGATCGAAATTCTACCGAGCATCTCACGGTCCTTAGGGAAGTTCCGCTCAACATACTGCAAGAATTGGAGGTTGATGTCGAAGATGATCTGAAGATGGCGAGGAAGGAGGTGCTGCATCAGCGGGACCGACCACTTCTCCAGGGCTTCCGGAAGCACGGTGTGGTTGGTGTAACCGAAGGTCTTGGTGACAACTACATGCTGTCAGATGTGCCAGTATTTATGAAGTGGTTAAACTTACTATTCCAAGCATCATCCCAGTCCAAGCCCTCCACATCGACCAATATACGCTGAAGCTCGGGAATGGCGAGTGTTGGGTGAGTGTCGTTCAACTGAATGGCGACTTGGTTCGGGAACTCTTTCCAGGCGCGCTTGGTCTTCTTGAATCGGCGAACGATATCATAGAGGGACGCGGCACACCAGAAGTACTGCTGCTTCAGGCGAAGCTCCTTACCCCGCTCGAGGTTATCGTTCGGGTACAACACAGCAGATATGGTCTCTGCGCGCTGCTGGTCGGCAACGGAGCTCTCGTAGTCACCAGAATTGAACTTCTGGAAGTCGAATTCGCCGCTCGCGGCCTTGCTGCCCCAAAGACGGAGGTTGTTGCAGGTGCCAGTCTTGTATCCAGGAACTGCTCAATTTAGCCATCACACTCAACCAAGCCTGTTGATCAACGTGACTTACTCGGAACATCGAAGGCAACCGCCTGCACGATCTCACCGCCCTCCCAGGAGCACTGCTGCTTACCCTCATCGTCCTGCCAGCGGTTGACATAGCCATTGAACTGCACATCCACCGTGATATCGTGCCGCTGGAACTCCCACGGGTTGAAGTCGAGCCAGTAGTCTGGCACCTCGACCTGGTATCCGTCGATGATCTCCTGCTTGAAGATACCGTATCTGTAACGGAGGCCGTATCCCCAGGCGGGGTAGTTGAGCGAGGCCATGGAATCGAGGAAGCAGGCGGCGAGACGTCCGAGACCGCCATTGCCGAGCGCGGCATCGTGTTCCTGGGAGACGATGTCCTCCATGCGGAAGCCGAGGTCCGCGAGACCCTCTGAAAGACGTTAGATCTCAAGGCCTGTGCATATGATCGCAGTTGACCTACTCGCAGCCGTGTCCTTCTGCTCCACGTTGAGCATAGCATTGTCCAGCGCTCGACCCATCAAGAACTCGAGGGAGAGATCTGCCTACGTCAACTGTGCTCCAACCATCCCATCCCGTACCTGCTTACAGTATATGCGCTTCTGATCCGCAAACGTCTGGGTCTGCTGCGTCTTATTCCAGTCCAGGATCAGACGATCCCTAAACGCTAGCGCCGTCCCGGCATACGCCGCAAACTCATCGCAGTTATACAAGCTCCGCGCAAGCGTCGTCTCGATATGCCTGACAGTCTCCTTGTTGAACTCCTCGGGCGTGCTAAACGGCTTCGGCATCTATCACTCCATCAGCGCACCGTCCCCCAGCTACCCCGCCATCCGCGGAATGCAGCGGGAAAGCAGCAATCGACTTACAAACTTCCTCCAAGCGGCGCGCTGGGGCTCCGGAATGCTCGCCTCGACGCTCTTGATCTCGCCGGGCCCAAACCCCGTCGTAGTACGCTTGTGCTTCGGGCGCGTGAAGTGGTCGGGGCCGACGGGGCCCTTGAAGTCGGCGAGCGGGGCGCTCATCGAAGGGCGCCGCTCGCGCGGGTGGGGAGACGTCGGTGCGGCCGCCATTCTGAGGATGTCGATGGGGGAGAAGCGCGAATTGCTAAGGGAGTGTCTGTGACGGAGGGGCGAGGGCGGGGTAGAGGGGCGAATAGTGTCCGCCGCTCAAAGGAGGTGAGACAAAGTCAATTGAGAGCTTGAGCAGCTCTCTCGGGCTATCGAGCTTATAAAGGCAAGGGAAGCAGCGAAAGAGACAGGTGTTTACAGGCGGGCAGCGTGCGGCGGGGTTGGTGTTTACGCCGTGGGGCGGGTAGCGGTCAGGACAGGTAGGGATGATCACGAGAGTATGACGACAGTCGAGTACTTAAGGGCGACGACGCGGGGAAGCGTGAGATATGGGAGGCGGGCTGTCCACAGGAGTGTTGAGCTTGGATATGCACGTCGAATGCACGGCTGAGCAGCGCGACTGGTGCGAAGTGGGGTAGGCGCGTACTGGCACCCCTCGATTACACCACCGCAGCCCTGCTAGCTGGCACCTGACAACTGCCATTTCGATACACTTCTGCATGGTAAAGACCATACGCAGGTAGTTGTGAAGCTAGCGGGGGCTTTCCGCATGTATTCGCGACTTTGCGGTGACCGGGAGGATGCAGAGTCCACGCGGAGAGAGACGTCACAGTACAGAAGGAGCTCGGGCCACGTCCTGCAAGCCCCTCCACTGCTTCAGCACCTATGTACCGCATCGGGCGATTTGCGATGGCGTCTGCTAGCCCTCAAGCATGACGGGTGCTCACTAATGCCTCGTGATGCGTATATTAAGCTTCATCTTGCGAGCATGGAGCCACTGCGTCAAAACTATGAATTATGGTTGCGAACAATGAAGCTATCGAGAGCTAGAGCTATGCTATCAGAGATACGAACGCCGCAGAAACCATCCGAAGGGTATCATGCGATCAATCAAGCTGCACGCAGGCAAAACCGTCCATCAGGCCACCCAGCCCAAAGCAAAGCAAAGCAAAGCAAAGCAATCATTCCATACACCACCAGTCCAGTCCCTCATCTATCCCACGAACAGGCCTGCCGTGAGATCTTCCTCTTTCTCCTCCAAAAACAATAAAACGCAGATACCAGACCCCGTCCCAGAAACGCCGCATACGCGCCGGAAAAAATGCGTAACACGACACCGTAACGGAAATGCGAAAATGGCCGCCGACAAGAGATACGGATATGGGGTATCGTGATGCTAGAAATGTGCACTCGTCGCAAGTTCTCGAACGCCGAAAAGCCACGCCACGTGGAGTGCTCCAATGTTTCGCAGCGCGACATTTGCACAACCCGACAAGAAGCAGCTGGCGGGTCACTCCACGAGCCGCCGCAGCCACTTCTAGGGACTGGGTTCGGGGGTTTGCACGCCGTTGGCCCAGATGGCGGTACCTGGCGTGCCTCCTGTCCCGGTACTAAGCGCGAGCTTGGGGCGCCGTTCTTCTTTCTCTGCTGCTGCCGCGGCGGCGACGCTGTCGTTCCTGCTGGAGGTGCTCGACGGGATGTTGAAGTTGCACGCTCGTTGCATGTCCCGCATCATGCGCTGCACCATGTTGTCGCTGATGCGGAAGAGGCCGTAGTCCATGTCGCGGAGTATGCACATCTTGGTGGTCTCGATTTCTCTGGCGGTGAACTGGGATCGACTCTCTACTCTTGCCCAATGGCCGTTTGACCGGCCGCGGTCATCAATGAAGCCGTGTGCGAGTGCAAGCGCTGAAAGGACGATGAGGTCTGGACCGGTCATCGGGCGCTGCCGCAAGTGGGTCCCCGAGTAAAAATTGAAGGCCTTCTCGCTCGGCGGCAGACAGGCATCGCGCCACGAGCTAGCAAAGCGCTGGGAGAGCGCATCCAGGACACACGCTGCGAACGCTAGAATCTCCGTTGGTAGACATGCTCTTTCCAAGTAGCCTCTGATGACGGGGACCGCAGGCTTCTGCGTCGACACATTCCTTGGGACGAGGTTGGCAAGATGCGTAGCGTATACTATTCATAGTCAGTAACGCTAGACTATCTAGTGGCGAGCAGAGGGTATTGGCGGATAGAAAAATCAGGGGGAAGGTTTATAGGATGACGTAGGGCAAGGAGATCTCTGCAGGACGCCGGAAGCTCCACCTCCACCAGCCGTGCAAGGATCAACGACGCTCCACCGGCCAGCCTTCCAACTCTGAATAGAAACACACAAACACGTGACATGGAAACTAACCTTCCAGTTCAGGGGATCGACGCTCATCTTGCGCCTGTGATGCTGGGCCCGCAACAACGGGCTGCTCCTTCGCGGGCGGCGGCGTAGGCAGATTGCTCAGCGGGACATAACTCGCAAAGTACTTGTCCAGCTCCTCCTCGCTCATGTCATCGACATCGCCCGCCAGGCTGGCGATCGAAAGCGCAGGGGAGTATTCCATGTCGCTGCAAACTCCAGGTGAAGTGTTGTTATCGAAGACGAAGGGTGCTCATTCCAGAACGAGTAGTGAGGGGTAACAGTAGTTGCGGAGTCGCAATGCTTTCAGACCCACACCAAGCACTCCCATAAGAACAATCGAAGAGGAGAGAAGAACAAAAAGAGAGGTTCACAAGCAGGGTGACCAGGCGCCTATATACTTTCCCAATGCGAGTAGTTAGGGTCGCCAGCCCCAAACGGAACGGTGAAGCGGCTGACGTGCTCGGGGCGGGCGTGTGCGTAGTGTCTCCCCTGTGAGTGCCACTCTCGCTAACAGCACGACTGGACCCTTGGCGCACGCCATATGCAGGCCGTAGGGACGTGTGTCTGAAAGCGACAGGAGAAAAGCACGCCCTCCCCAAATCTCCGGACAACAACTCTATGCGTCTCTTACTAGCGGAACCAGCAATAAAGTTCTACCAGGCGAGTGTTCGCATCAGCGAGGGCTCGAAGCTCCCGGATAGAAGGGACCGCGCAACGCAGCAATCTACCCCAATCTACGCCCCCTCGCACTTTTCCCCAGACTGCCAGAAACGCAATCTGCACGTGTATGCCGCTTCATCTGGCAGTTGGCTTCGTCTGCCCTCGAACAATTAACACACAAACCTTGCCAATATGCATCGAGCTTCGCTTCGTTTCTTTCGTTCCTCCGCTGCACACACGCGCGCCGCCGCATTATCGTGGCTGCACGCTTCCCACCGCCTCTCCACGAGGAGTTAGCGCGCCTGCTCTCCTGTTCCGGCATGCCGTGGCCATTCCGAGTTCCGCCCCTCTCCTCTGCATCCCCCTCTGCAGCACCAGCGTCGCGATCACAGCCGCACCCGCTTCACAACCCCCAGGTGGCCTGACGTCCGCCCTCAGACGCAACTCACCGCCATCTTCACGTCGCCAACGCGGGAGATCGGCTCTCCTCGGCCTCACAGTTCCATCCTAGCGCGCTCTCCACAACCCCACATGTGCCTCCTCTTTCGCGCCTTGGTACGAGGCCCAACGACCCGTTGCAGCGCTTCCAATATTCTCTGTGCCGTTGAGTTGGCGAAGCGAAGCGAGAGGGGATGGGTTGGCTAGAACCGCTACGTAGGTGGAGCAAGAGCTCGGGCTAGGTAGGTGCTGTCGTTCAGGGCGGATGCAAGGCCGGAACACGGCGGGTGAATTTGTTCCGTGCGAGCTGTTGTGAAGGGGCGACGGATGAGTTACTTAGGAGGGCGGTCAACATGCTCGCAGTGGAACCTCTGACATGGACTCTCCTGCGGCAGCCAAAAGCCACCACAGCATGATGATTGACCGCCACGCTCTTCGCTGCAGGTCCAGCCGCTGGGCCCGGCATACAGAAGCTGTTCGAAGTAGGTACTCCCTCGTGCAACGTAATGTGCCGTCTATTCTTTGCCAGCGATTGGTAAGGCTATGCACAAACAGCACGGGTGGTGGGCGGCGACGGCGCGAGAACAGCTGAAGAACGCACGCGGCATATGCAAGCGACGACAAACCACTGTAGCAAAGCACACTGACTAACCCAAGCCCAAAAATAAAATAAAAGGTCGTCAATTGCAAATACCTCAAAACTCCACGCTCCTCTATGCAGAACGTAGATAGAAGTGACTCTTCAATAATCGATCTTCAAACGAAAAGGAATACCTAGTCGAACACCCTCTCCATCCGCTGCACTGCACAGCACCCGTGTATTCGTCACTTTTCGCACCCGTGCCCATCGAATCCTGAGCTCCACCACCCCCCAACGGGCGCTCAAATTCAGCCAACCTAAACCCCCCTCCTCGTTCATATGTCCATTGCGCAGGTAGTGGGGCGGATGCTGACGCTGCCACCAAGATAACGAGTCATGCATCTCGTAGCCCGCGGCACCCCAATCCCAAATTTCAACATCGACGTCCGCTTTCCCAGCCTCGAGACCTCCAACTCATATTTGGCAACTCAAGTTGAAGATAGGCCTGGAAGCAAAGCCGGACGCAATTACTGCGCTTTCTTGGGCACGGCGCCCTGCTGTCCACCCACATACTTGCGGATGTCCGTCGCATCAGCCGCTTGCCTGAGGATGTTCTTGAACATTCCCCAGCCCTGTCGGGCAGCTGGGGGAGTGCTTTGGTTCGCAAGCTGAGCGTCAATGCGGGCAGTCAGCTGGGTGATGGCGCCCTGGACAAAGCTGCTCTGCGCATAGCGAGCGCGGAAGAAGACGGTGTAGACGAGGAACAAGATCCACGAGCCCTTCTGGAAGAGGAGCGCAGAGCCCATGACGCGGAACCAGAGGGCAATTTCGAGAATGGCAACGAGCGTCATGCTGCCGTCGTAGTACTCTTTGACGAACCTTCCGATCATGTCAGACGCGCCAGACGGCTTAGGCTTGGCGCCCTGTGGGCCTGCAGCCGGCGGTGGCTGGATGGCAGGCAGCAGGTTCGACCGCACGTAGGTTGCGACGTGGAATACTGAGTAGACGGCAAAGGGAAGCACAGCCATCGGGATCTGGCGGGAGAAGAGCCAGACGAGCGCCATGACTGTGGCTGTTAGCTGGTCTCTCGCGGGGCTGAAGCTGCTGTAGGGACTTACTTAGGTACTGCACGTTCTCATCCGTAGCCAAAGCAAGGATGCTACCCTGCTTTCCTGACCTCATGCGGGCGCGATATGCCTTGTATACCACGATGCCATACGTGACGCACGCAGAGAGGAATGCCACGCGATACGAGAAGCCGGCCCATCTCGAAGCCGAGTTGAAGGTGATGTAGGACAAGCTGTAGCGGAAGGTGGCGAGCAGCAGAGAGACATGGCCAGCAAACCATGCGAACTGCAGTGTTTGGGCGAGGGCGGCGAGGCGCTGGCCCAGCGGCATCGATGCGGGCGGTGGAGGGGCCATGGTGGATTGTCGCGGATTTCGCAGCTGTCGTGTGGGGTATGCGGTGTGCGGCTTGGACCGTCAGCAGAGCTCTTTATGGCAGACAAGTATTTCCAATGCACGGAGGGGAAGATGTTGGAGCTGCGCTTTCGTGGATGCCTGGTGTGAAGGGAAGGCGGAGGTGCAATCTGTCAAGAGCGCTCCGGTGGCTGGGTCTCTCGCACACGGGACCCGCTCCCCGACACGGCGGAATGACGCTGGACGTGCGCTGACGCAGGCTTGACTTACCGTTGAGACAAAGGTGTTGGGATACGTTTAAAAAGTTGATCGAGGGCTGTCGCAGTGCAGTTTTGGTCTTAGGGGAGAGCAGGCCAGGCGGAATGGAGCTTTGTGCAATGGGCTGGTGGGCGCAGGCAGGGCAGGGAAACCAGAAATTCGGCGTTTGGGTGGTGACGAAATGCTTCGCGCTGCTCTCTCCCACCGCTAGCAGGCGCACGGGCCAGCGGCACCCTGGCGATCACCATCACCCGCGGCCGTCCCCATGTGCCAGTCCATCATGTCACCTATGTCTTGCATGCGAGTGTCAGTCACTACTGTCACCCGGCGGTCAGCACAGAGCGAAGGGCTATCCACAAACGAAACCAATTCACTACTAGATGATCTGTAGAATACACGAAAAGAAGCCCCCTGCATCCCACACACCACCCCAAAACTACATCTGCCCATCTACTAAATAATAGAAAAAGTAGTCGAAGGAGAAAAAGGAAGCGGAAGGAGTGCAATGCTGCTGGTATCAATCAACAACCGAAGCAAGCTGAACCAAGGAGATGACACCGCTCCGGCCCCTCGCCAACCCAGGGCCGCTCCGTCGTCTATTACCCGCTGCCGATAGCACCCAGTGGTATCGTCCAGCAGCATCAAATTACAAGGTCTGTTAAAGGGGAGGAGAGAAGGGAGAAAGGCTTTTGGGGCTTTTTCCGCTGCGCGAGTCGTCCAAAACGGGAGGCGAGATGGCACCACGTGGCCACGAGGGGGCCCCGCCCTTAACGGAGCGAGAAGCCCTTCCTCTTGCCCTTCTCCTCGAGCGGCCGGCCCTGCTCGATGCGCGTCTTCTTCTCCTCCAGCTCCTGTCGTTGCCGTTCTAGCTGCTCCTTCATTTCCCTGTGACGGGCGTAGAGCTCTTCCTCGCTCTGTCGCAGCTTGCTCTCTTTCTCTGCCACCTTCTGCTGGAAGACCATCTTCATTTCCATCTCCATCTTCTGGAGCTTGGCTTCGTGCAGCGAGCGTTCCTCCTCCTGCTTGACCGCCGGGTTGACCTCCTTGAACACGCTGGAGTCCTGCTGCACGCCCATAGCCATGAGCTTCTCGGAGCGGTAGTTCTCGTAAAGCTGGTTGTTGGTGTGCTCCTTAAGCTCCTCCATGTGTGTTCGGATAAGCATCTGGCGCAGCTTGACGAAATCGCAGTGCTCCTCATTGTCGACCTCGATGACGCCCCAGGGATACCTACGCCCTCGGACTTTGCGGCCGTCGGCAGTGGTAACCTCGGCGTTGGCACCGACAACGGCAAAGGGCACCTTAGACATGATCTCCGCGTTCTCGGCAATCGTCTCCTCGTCGTCGAGCTCGTAGCGAGGACCCTCGAATATCTGGATCTTGTGGTAGTTGATGTCTGCAAGGATCTGCAACAGTTAGCACAAAGAAACATGGCGATTAAAAGTCCACATACTCTCTCCTTGAAGGCGGCAATTTCCTCGTCGGTCAGGGTGTCGGCCTTGGCAATGACGGGAATCAGGTTGACCTTGGTGTGCAGCTTCTTCATGACCTCTACATCCAGAGGCTTCAGCGAGTGGCCGGTGGGCTGGATGAAGAAGACGACGGCGTGGATGCGATTGTCGACGATGTTCATGCGGTTCACCTTGTTCTCCTGGTCAAGGTAGGCGTCGAATCGTTGCTCAATGTTCTTAACAATGGGTTCCCACGATTCGTCGTTGTTGATGAAGTCACCAAAGCCGGGCGTGTCAACGACGGTCAACCGCAGGCGGACGCCATTTTCCTCAATGTCTGCACTGATAGACTGTATCGAGACGGTCTTGGAGATGTCGAGGCTCGGGGGCTTGCGCTCCTTGGGCGGGTACAGCGACGTGTTGAAGAGAGTGTTCACGAGGGTGGACTTGCCGAGCCCAGATTCGCCTGCCAGGGTCCGTTAGAGCTGTCAATGAAGCTTAATGCAGCTGTTTCCCACGTACCAACTACCATAACGTTGAAGTTGAACCCCTTGCGCACGCTCTTGCGGTGCCACTGGTTGGGCAGGTTTGCGAACCCGACATATCCTGTGAGCTTCCGGCGGACGATGTTCATGTCGCTGGCGGCCATGGCGGCCAGCTTGGGGTCTTTGGAGGAGATGGTCTGGGGGGCTGAGGCTTGGAGGTTAGCCGCCGCGTTTACATGCTCCATGAGAGGCGATCCGGTCGAGGTCGCCGGGGGCGATGGGGACGCACGCGTAGGGGCGGCGGGTGATGCGCCGTTCGATGCTGTGTCTGCGGTCAGCCCGCGTCAACAAGGGGAGTCGAAGCCGTTGAAGGCAGCGACGCCGAACGGCAGCCATCGCCGAAACGAGACAGCGGCAGGCCGCCCCGCGCAATCAGGTGTGCGGCGTGGTGCCTGGCCGCCTCGCAGCGTAGGACAATGGCTGCCACAGAATATTGGCTCTGAAGCTCCTTACCCATGGCGTATGCTGGACCGCGGACGCAGAGAAAATGCCGTCAAGGGAGAGACTCCTGCGCAGTCGAATAACAGATCAGCAAATGCTCCAATGCTCGATGAGGCAGGCTGCTGTCGATGGGCAAACAATATGGGGTGCGACACGAGCCAAAACCCGGAGAAATATGGTGAAACGGGCAACGGAGGACGGGCGGCGTACCAGTCAGAGGTAGGTATGCTTCGTGAGCGATGGAATGCCCTCAAAAGCAATGGATTGGGGGTGTTCGGCGCCGGCGGAGTCGTGGATGGGCGTGGTGAGGGCGGAGGGTGCGACGAGGTTGAAGGAAGGCGTGGTGCGCTCCGGTGCTGGAGGAAAGGGGTCCGCGCAGGGATTGGGAGCAACGTTGGAGAAAATAGGCGCTAGCCAAAATTCCCCGCGAGCCTCGCAGCGATGGCCACGGCGCAGTGAAGGGCGGCAAAGAGCGGAGAACGAGCGTGTGAAGCTTGTTGGGCGATGCAGGAGGGAATTGACAGCTTTGTGTTGAGTGCAGCCGCTCTTGTGCGCCGTCTCGCAGCCTGCAGTCGCGGAGCATGCTGGCCCGAATAGGAAGGCGTCACGTGCACAAGCGAACCAGCCCGGAGGGAAATTGAAATTGCCCGATGCTGGCGCGGCGACTTGCTGGCGCTTGGCCTGCGCCTCCTGCTCGGGCGCCTTCACTACTACATACTGCGGTACTGTGTGCGCTCGTGGACGCTGTCCGAAACATTCCTCTACAGCTACAACATCCTACAGTTCAGCGCGCCGGCTGCATCGTGGCACCACAACCGCACGCCAAGCGGGCAGCAGCAGGAAAGCGAGGCCAACCGTATCCAATAGCGTCCCGTGCTCCGCATAATCCCGTCCCATTATTCCATCCAAGCCGCGCGCAGGATAAAACCAAGGGTATTCTGCAAGAAGCCGTTCCCAACGCCTTATGTACCAGATCACGACAGGCCGGCCAGCACCTGCCCCAACTCGACCTTGCTGTACTTTACGTACTTGCCCTTGCCCTTATCGATTTCGTGATATCGGTCCCAGAATCTGCCGTATAAAGGCTCGATGATGGTCTGCACCTCCTTGCCCAGGTGTGCCCGCACCTCGCGCTCCATCTTGAATGTTTTATGGCGAGCAACGAGCTCGTCGAAGCTCGCGTTGAAGCTCTTGAATTTCTCTTTGATGGCGTCCTTGTCCTTGGAGCTCAGGCCCTTGACGATCGCAACCGAGTCGGTGGTTCCAGCGCCGCCCGAATGAGGTCGCTCTTTGCGATTCGTGTACTGGACGTCGAGCAGATGGCCAGAGGGTTCACGCCATGCGTCCAGGTACGCCGCCGAGCTTGTCTTCTTCCACCGTTCGAGCTTCTTCTGGCTGTACGTCTCCATCAGCGGCGCGAGTTCCGAGGACCGAATCATCCTCTCGACAATCGCGACGTTGTTGCTCATGAACACACCCTGCAGGCTCTTGGTCTTTAGCAGCATCTTTGCCTTGCTCTCAAGATTCTGTATTAGAGTGTCGACCGTGTCGGAGGCGTAGTGCTCAAAGAGCTTCATGGCATCGGGGCCGACATCCATGGGGAGCGACGACGAGGAGCTGTTGGTCGGGCCTGACGACCAGCCGCCATCACCAAGCGATGCCAAGATTGAAGATAAGGGCTCCAGATAGTTGGTCATCTCTTGCAGACGAGTCATAGTGGTCGTAGTCACCGGAACGGAGGCTCCATCCATTGGAAGAGCAACCAGCGTCTGGACACGAGTCCTGGTGTCGTCGAGCAGTTTGCTCAGGGACGCCTTGGATGTCTCCCTTATGGGCTTGACGCTGTCGTAGATAGGCCGCTTCAATGCCGACACTTTCTGTTCGAGGCGAATGGAAAGCCTGGTCACGATACCGACGATCTCGTAACCAAGGAAGCAGTCGGTCATCAGATTCCTTTGAATGTGTCCATTTAGCTCCCGCAGCGTCTTGTTGAAGTCTCCGAGCGGAGCTCCACAGGTGCTGTTGCACACGGCGGTCCACTCATCGCGTGGAAAGATTGCAGTGATGTTGTCGTACTCCGCAACGAATAGCCCTTCCATCCCCTGAGCATATGTGCTTATTCCATTCTGGCCAGGCTTGTAAAGAGCGTCTGCGGTGAGCTTTCTAGCAGTGCTAACCGACGCTGTTGACAGATTGCGAAGGGCGTTAGTGAGGTAATCGCCACGTGTTTCGGCGTATATTCTCTGGGTCGGAGTTTCACGGGTATCTGTCTGAGAGATCTGTGTGAACGAATTGGATATATGAGTATTGATGAGTCGCAATGTGGAGAGTTTGTCTTCGGCAATGAGAGGGAACGGGTTGTCTACACGGCGTTAGCATGCCACTCCTGCCTGGTGGAACGAGTTCGCACTCTTTGCTACGTATTCCAGCGCGTCGAATGTTTGCCTGCAGCTGTCCCGGAGTATGTCCCGGAACGCATCCTCCAGTTGTTTGGTCCCATATTTTACTAAATCGCTGAGCTCGCGCACAGCTTGCTGGTTCGAGCGAATGTTCGTGCGTCGGAGATCTTGGAGGGCTAGGTTGGTACGGTCGAGGGAAGCTATGTAGTCGCGGAGATCGGTCTTCTTGAGTCTGTGATTGTCAGTTTATAGCCAAAGAGGGTGGAAGAGGAGAAAGCGCACCCTCTCTTAATGATGCTCTCCTCACGGTTCGTCTGGTCGAGAGGCGCCCGCAGTCTTTCGATTGCCTCAATGACTCTGTCGATGTCTGACAAATTGTCAGCTTGTGAGAGTGTATATATGTAGGCCGAACGCATACTTGAGTTCGCGATCTGGAGCTTCTGCGTATTGCTGTAGATAGGGCCGATGGCTTCCTCGACCACCTTGCCGCTGGTCTCCAGCCGGTTCTTCGAGGCCTGGATTTTCTTGGTCAAGCCTTTCATCTTCTCCATATTCGCGAAGAGCACCTCCACCTCGGCGCTCTCCTCCGCGAACGCTCCTTTGCGTGGGCCGACCATGGTTCCTGCCGACGGGAGCTCTCGGAAGCTCCTCAACGTGGCGCGACGATGCCGCGGAAGTAGGAATCAAGATAGAGTGGTTATGTAAGGTTTAGGGCATAAAGGGGTATTAGCGGCATGATGAACATGCTTGAAGCATGACTATGAACGACTGTCGGAGAATAAGAATGCGTGGGGAAGCTTGCGGAGGGCGTACTGGGGGTCGCCGGACCTATGACGGAACAGGGGCGCGCTAAAGAGCTGTCAAGCAACAGAGTGTTTCCTGACGCGGAATAAGCCTCACCCGCGGCATGTATATTTAGAAAAAACCAAAGACTTCTAATAACCCCCAGGACAAGAATCGCTGAGATAGAAAAGTAGTATACTGTGTACCGCTTTCGGGGTCGAGCACAATTCGGTCCGGAGCATCAATAATCCGACACGGAATATATCCCGGCCGCTGCCAATAAACAGCTTCAATATGTTGAACGTCAGCGCAGAGTCGACTACATACTCACAAGAAGCCCTCGTCCGCGCTAAAGGTTACAGTGTAGGATGAATCGATCTAGAGGTTGTGACTCTGCCTCAGGTTCTTATTAAGCCGTTACCCGCTCCGAAAGGTCCGCGTATCCGCTCCGTATCATCACGACTTCCAGCCTGCACCGCAATCTGGCCGCAGAGCTCCAGCTAGCTCACCACATCCCCGAATACTCGTCTTTCCCACATCATGGCAAATAGAGGCTACGACGTCGTCGTAGACGTCGACCAGGAGGTATGTCTCGCTTTGTAGCGCTGCAGCCCGTCACAAACGCTCACCATCTCCAGGGAGACCTAGGTCACACCGATCTTCAGGAAGACCTCGAATTCCACAGCTCCAGTAAGCTCCCCATTCCCTTCTATACCCATCGCGCCGCTCACCCTACATCCTGCAGACTTCGAAAACCCGTCCAACACTCGCAGCAAAATCCAGCCCGACACTGCCTCCTTCCTCCCACCCCCAGCGTCCAGCTCCCCATCCCGCAAACACTACCTCTGGACCCTCTCGTTCTACGCACAAGCCTTCGATGTAGACACAAACGAAGTCCTCCGCCGTTGCACCGCCGCCGTTTACCCCCGGCAAAACTTCCTCGACGTGCTGGAAGGCAACCCCGATCTCTACGGCCCTGTGTGGATCGCTACAACCGTAGTGGTCATCCTCTTCCTCACTGGTACCATAAGCCAGTATCTAGCACATCATGGGAAAGACCACTTTGCATATGATTTCAAGCTGCTGAGTGGAGGTGCGGGCCTGGTGTATGGGTATACGGCGGTCGTGCCCGCCGGGCTTTGGGCCGTGCTGAAATGGTATGGGAGTGAGAGTGCGAATCTGTTGGAGTGTGTCTGTTTGTATGGGTATGCGAATTTGATTTGGATTCCCGTGGCGTTGATTAGTTGGAGTCCGATTAGTCGTAAGTCCCTCTCTTCTCTTTACCTCCGCCAGCCCCCCTTTGCGTTTCGATGGGAGAGTGTACTGATGTTTTATTCGCAGTGCTCAACTTCATCTTCGTTGCCCTCGGTTTCGCCGCCTCTGTTTTCTTCCTCCTCCGCAACCTATACCCCGTCCTCAGCAGCACCGAAGCGAAGACATCGAAGGTTCTACTGATCGTTGTGGTGGCGCTACATGCGGGCTTTGCGATTGCAATTAAGGTCCTGTTCTTTGCGGCGACGAGTCCGGTGGGGCCGAAAGACGATAAACCTAAGGAAGATGGGGAGCAAGGGGAGAGGATGATGAGGATGCTGTTTGGTCTGTGAGACGGGAAAAGGGTACGGAGAAGGGAATTAATTGGACGGATAGGAGTCAGGGCCAAGGGCAATTGTACCAGTATATTCATTGTGTATTTGACCGGCTATGGATACCCGGATTAGCATGTTGCGATATTTGAATTGCATTGCATCGGTATAATTTCTATGGCCCTTATGCGACGGATCGCTGCGCTATTGTCTACCGCCGTGTACGTGTCTCGTTCTTCACGAACTAAAAGTTCGTATATTTTCTAAAGCTCGGAATGATGAATGGAAGAGCTCATAGTAGCTATCCTTGAAACTTTGTAACATCTCGAGCTTTCTGGCTACAATCAACATCACAGGATTACTAAGCGAATGGCGAAGAATGCAAGTTTCGATATGCCTTCCTATCTTTGTGGAACGGCGTAGCTTCCTTAACTATTGCCAGAAGCGATGGTCCGTTTATTGAGAGAAAAGGAGTGCTTTCTAATAGCTAGATAACCCTCAGCTCTTGCGATCAAGCTCAACCCTCTCGTCATCCTGCTTACCCCTTTGGCGAATGCCTGCCCCTGGCACGAGCCCAGACGTTTCGTCAGATACCGAGCTCTAGTAATCGAATTCTTAGCGATTCGCATTCATGATAGAGCAAATGTCTCCAACTCTTTTGGAACGTTGTAATTCGGAAGATCAGTTGTTCCGGTTGCGACATCAGATAGATACCGAGGCTAATCGTCTCAGCTACAAAGGTATCGAGAGCTCCGCAGATGCAACATCATGTCTTCATCACCACCCTTCTAATACGTATTTCAATGCCTACCCAAATCCTGATCGTTGGCGCTGGCGCTATTGGAGCCTTCTACGCGTCCCGACTGGCCCAAGTCCCTGATGTCCTTGTCTCCGTCATATGTCGCTCGAACTATAGCGCGGTGAAAGCCCACGGCTTCAAAGTCACTTCCCCGCAGTACGGCGATTACACATACATTCCTTCGAACACATTCGCGAACCCCGATGAGGCACGGAGCAGCGGGATACAATGGGATTATATCGTCGTGAGCACGAAGGCGCTTCCCGATGTGAGCGATGATTCGGCAATACTTGAGGGCTTGGTATCAGATAGGACAGCCATTGTGCTGATACAGAATGGGCTAGGCGTAGAGGTTCCCTACGCAAAGCGCTTCCCTACTGCTGCAATATGTAGCAGCGTTACTATCGCCAGCTGCGCGCAGCCCAGCCACGGAAACATCAAACACAACCGCTGGACACGCATCAATTGCGGACCATACCTCCCACATCTTGACACTGGGAGCGCGAAAGCATCGGATGCCCGGGTAGTAGAACAAAACCGTGCATTTATTGCGCTGTTAAAAGAAGGCGGCATCAAAGACGCAGAAGCCTACGACCACGCCAAACTCCAGCTCGTCCGTTGGCACAAAATCGCCATCAACGCTTCCATGAACCCCTCCTCCGTCCTCATCGGCTGCGTCTCCAACAACGCGATGTCACTGGACTCCGAAGTCTCCATCCACCTCAAAGGCGTCATGGAAGAAGTGCTCTCTACCGCTCCAAAGATCCTGGGAAAACCGTTCCCGAAGGAATTCGCAACGCCGGAGCAGATCTTGAGGAGCACACAGAGGAATACGAGTGGAAGCAAGCCCAGTATGGCGCTAGACTGGGAGCAGGGGAAGACTATGGAGTTGGAGGTTATACTGGGGAATCCAATTAGGATTGCGAGGGAGAGGGGGTTTGAAATGCCGAGGATGCAGACGTTGTATGCGCTTTTGAGGATGGCGCAGGAGACGAGACAAAAGGCAAAGAATAAGAGCAAAATATAAAGCCCCTTCTCTACGCCGGATAAGATCCGCTTGATAACGCCGAGTCTGTTGTCATTGAAGCGCCGCCTCCATTAGTCCCCTGCATTTCGGACAATCGATTGACCGGCTCCGAAGCATGAGCACTCCGGGCTTCTTCGTCAACACCTGCTTCCTCGAGTTCAGAATCGGTTAGCGTGGCTGCTTCGTGCGATGGCAACACCGCACATCCCTCCCTCATCTACTTGCCGCATCCCACTCCTCTTCTCCGCCTCCCCAGAATCATAGCAAGTTAGTTCATATTCGCCTGTGCCTCTCCGATGTCGCCACCGTCCACGTGCGCGTGCTGCAGCGAACACGTTTACCTGGCCACCAAGCCACATTGCGGGAAACCGAACGAACGCTTCTCCCCGCACCACCACCGTCATGAACTTCAATGCACTGGTAGTATTGAGGTATCCTCGAAGGAGGCTGAGTGTGTCTTGTGACTCTTTGGCATTGGAGTGGCGCCAATTACCGGTACGCAGGAGTTTCGTCCGCCTGAAGATATCTTCTATTGCCCATGGCAGACCTTCTGCGGGTGTTGGGTTGTGTGGGGATCGGATCGAGTTTTCCGGTTAAACCACGGAATACCGCTCGCTCTCAGAAGACGCAATATGGCTGAACGATACAGTTTCATCTTCTAGATCCTAGAAGATATCCGCTTCTGTCATGCTGGTTAGTATTCAGAGATATCGTGCATCTCCGACACCCGGTAGCCACCGCTGATTGGTCATTCTTGTCATTTAAGGCCATCGTTCCCAATGCGTGGGTTATCTCCTTTCGGGTAAACCGAATTCTCATCCCTCGGTCCACCTATTCGGCTCTCTACCCTACGGACTCTGATATGCCGCGTGGGGGACGCACAGAAGTTCCGCGACTAGAGTTCCGAGGCAATGTCGCCATGGTGTGGAATCGCCTTCCAAAGCAAACGAAACTCGCCGTTCAAAGACACAACGCGATGCTCAGACTATGAGCGAGGCGAATATTACGAGGCTTACCCGTCACCGACCCCAAATCCGAGGGGTCTCTTATATCGTCGTTCGCATATGAATTTTCCCCAACACCTAGACTGGAATTCATGGCTCCTAAGTCAGGAGGCCGATGTCAGGATGTGGCGGAATTTTGAGCAATCCGCGGAAAGTGGCCCGATAATGTTCTGCTCATGTTCCTATTCTATGGTCACTTGCCTGAATTACCCACACCAACTCAAACCATTCACGAGCAGCCAGCGTCGCCTATCCGAGCGATTCGTACTTCATACAGCTTCCAAGACGTGTCTTTCTCGAAATACACTTTACTTCTCCTCTACTTATCCTAGACCCCCATATATAGACCCTCTTCATCTCGCAATCGATTTCCTACGTCACCCCGAACAAGCTGTTTTAACGCGAACATTTCTCGCGCCGATCGTCAATCGCAAATCTCTATCATCACCTGCGGAAGGCCTATGGCCAATGATATCCCGCTGCCAATTGCAATCATTGGCAGTGCCTGCGATCTCCCTGGAGGTGCCTCCAATCCATCAAAGCTATGGGAGCCACTTTGGAACCCGCGAGACTTACTACGGGAGATTTCGCGCGAGCGATTCTACTGGAAAGGGTCTACAGGCCTGATGGGCTTCATGGTACTATCAAGACAAAAGAAGGATACTTCCTCGAAGAGAACATTCGCGAGTTTGATCCGCACTTTTTCGGTATTACTCCGTCGGAGGTAGAGAACATCGATCCGCAACAAATGGCGCCACTTCCTTAACCTGAAGCAGGTGCCATGGCTGCTAGAGCATCGTCTCAATGGGATAGCAGTCTTGGCTGGCGCCGGATATGTGATAATAGCAGTTACTAGGGCACAGCAAATGTTCCGAGCTTGCAGCATCGAGATGATTCAAGTCGAGAACCTTCGATTCGAGCTTCCCATGGTCTTCCCGGATGGTCACTATTCTCAGTTTTCACAACATTAAAAGGTGTGCACATCGTGCAACCGCTGATTTCTACGTGGATTTCTACTACCATCCTCGCAATGCGGACGTGCGCACCATCGCCCCCGAGGAGATCGTAAATCACCCTGACCATCCTTCGTCCGCCACCTCGGATTGGAACGCTTCTGGCCAGATTCCAGTCACTGTACAGCCCGCCACTCATGAAGTCAGATTCAGTTCCGGAAAGGCTTACCCGATCATCGAGAGCAGCGACATTGCTCAATCTGTCTGTGAATGGATGATCAGTAGCGGCGCCAAGTTCATCGTTATGGCTGGCTGCAATCCGAATCATTTGAAGGTGTGGGCTTGTGAGATGAAGACCAGAGGCGCTTTTATCGGACTTGAATCGATCGACAGTGCGAATGAGGCTTCCGTCTGACACATGATCTCAGCTGTCAAAACCAAATTCGTAGCAAGCGGAGTGACAATGCCGCCTCTTGGAGGCATTATTCACTTGGGTCTCATTCTCAAAGACGGAGCATTTTCGACTACGTCTTTCGAAAAGCTTCAAGCGGTGGTCGACGTGAAGGCAAAGGGGATCCTCATTCTTCACAAGGAGCTCGCACAAGAGCAGCTCGAATTTTTGTCCTCGCCTCAAGTCTCTCGTATGTTGTCGGCAACGCTGGACAAGCAAACTACAATCGCGGCAACGCCTTTATGGTAGGCTTAGCGAAATACCGGAGGAGCCTCGGGCTTCCTGCTTCCGTCATACATTTAAGACCCGTCGCTGGCATTGGATACATGGCGCGTAACGCCGACCCGAAGTGTGCGCGGCTGCTCGACGATAGCATCCATAAGAGAGCCGTATATCCCATCTCCGAGCAAGACCTCCATCAGATCTTCGCCGAGCTGTGCTCACCAGCCCAGCTGACTCTGGTGTCAATCCCGAGATCATAACCGGCCTGAGATACACCGAGCCGGACGTCGTTGAGCGCCTCCCCTGGGGCAAGGAATCTATGTTTGCGCACCTGCACACGAACCGTTCTTCTTCCTCCGTCTCCACCAAGCCCCCAGTGCAGCCCCCCCTCCGCGAGCAGTTACGTGCGGAGCTCGCATCTGCCACAAGGAATTCGACCGAGAACTCGGTATACTGCATCATCTATTCCGCCTTCCTGCATCGCGTCCGCGCTCTCCTTCTGATCGACGAGATCGACGAAGATGTCAGCCTTATCGATCTCGGCATTGACTCCCTTGTTGCGAGCGAAATAGGGAGCTGGGCAAGAAAGGAGTTAGGGGTGCGGATTCCCAATTCGGTGATCTTTGGGGGCGCGAGTGTGAGGGATATCGCAGGCGTTGCGGTGAGGGGGTTGGATCAAACGTGGATTTTAGAGAAGAACGAGGCAGTTGGAGGTAAATAACAATATTTCTGTCTTTTGGATAGACGGTGCTATATATCGATTCCTTTTTTTTTCGAAACAGCGTGTTGTGGGATACAGCGTGGGCATTTTGTTTGCGTAGTTACTCTCTACTCTGATATTTCTCCTTTCCCGTATTGAGCGTCATTGATTTGGCATTGAGTCAAGATTTTAGTCGCGGACCTAAAGGAGTTTGAGAGTTTGCCGTTACGATGGAATATGGAATAAGATCATAGACCCGCTATTACCTACTTGCTCGCCTCTCTTTCACGTTGCAACCTCAATGCACGCGCGCCCTGGCTGTCATATTTCCTTTCCAAAGATCTAAATACTCTCTTTGCGAAGGGCTTCCATTCCGGATCTCACATATCCGGTCTGTGCCTTCTATCGGCCATGGCTTCGGCGGTGAGAGGGCACTGCTTGGAGACTAGCGCGTTCACGTGTTTCCTGGTCAACCACCATTCATCCAACACACGCCTGACTATCGCGAATTGGCTCACACAAGCTTGCAGCTACGCTGACAGCTACTGAGATATGCGGCTTCTGTTATTGAACACTTTTCGCTACCCTTCGGGGTGTACGAGGTCTAGATGTCCTCTTGTTGGTAGGCAGCCTTGTTATGGATACAGAACCGGGGCTGACGGTGTTGTAGAGGTATCAAGCACAGCCTGAAACTGAAAGGCACCGATAGAAGGGGTATGCGCTTTCTCGGGTCCGTATACCGACTCCGGGAGCGAGTCGACGCCCTTTTCACTTTCACTTATCACAACGCAAACGGTCGACTTTGGCCCAGCGATGAGCCCACAATTAAATTTCACTCTTCTCCTATTCCTTCTCCCTCTCTTCCCTCCCTGCTGCAACCCGACCTCTGCTCTTCCCAGCGTCATGGGTGGCTCCATTATGGACAGTCACGGTTCAAACGGCGATGCGGCAGGCGGCAACGACTTGCGGATTGCGATCCAAGGCCTGCAAGAGAAGATTGTAACTCTCCAAGAATCTTTCCGTTGGGAGGGTAGGTCATTCACGATTTCTCGACAACCCTCGCTAACCTGCATCAGTGAATACGCAGCGGCGTATCAACGATGACCTGACGACCCTCAATGAGAACTTGTACAAGATGGTCGGTGTCTTGGGCAGTAGGATCGACACCCTCGAGCGCGGAAATGCCACGATCCGTTCCTACATAAATGAGAATCACGGTGACGGAGGCAAGGACAAGGCGGTCGACCGAAAGAGTCTCGTCGTCAACGACAGCGCGGAATCCCCCAGCAGTGCAGAAACTGCCAAACTGCAGAGCCCAGCACCTGCGCTCTTGCAGAACACTACTATCAACACGGGAAAAAAGCGAAACTACATGCTGAACAAGCGGCCTGTCCACGACCTGACCGCCAAGATGCCTCCTGTCATGGTCCAATTTCCAGCAGTCCCCCTCACCGACACGGAATTGATAGTGTTCTTTTTCAACTCTGTTTCCCGTCCCATAGTCGCCCTGAGACTCTCTTCCCGCAACTGGGGACCTTCAGATGTTACTGACGTGCTCAACGAGCACCGCCATATCACTCCCCCCTACCTCCGGAACACTTGTTGTGCGAAGTCCAGGGCCGCTATCCGGCGGGGCAAGGACATGTACGGCGACGTCTGGGAGAAAGATAACTGCGAGTACTTCGCCAGCGCGGACGACGCAGCTGCAACAGATGCTATTCGTCTCTCGGGTGGCGAGCTCGATCACGAAGTTGCATGCGACGTGGACGGCCTCCTTATTGACCTCAAGAAGTATCCGGAAGGACACGGCGCAGGAATCTTCACGCAGAGCGTCAAGTGGTGCGCGGAGAGGGACGTCAACATGAACGTCCATCTGCTCTGCAAAGTTGCCGCCGCCATCAAGAACGATACCGATCCGTACGAGGCACTGTTCCCTCAGGGACATGCCTAGATGTGATGGGGCGGTGGCTTATCAGGTGAGCAACTTCAAGCCTAGTTCTCCCTACACTAACTAATGCTCTCACAGCCTTCGATTACTGCCACGGTGGATCGAGCAATGGTTTTCCTGCCGGCTTTTGGGGGGCTATGCCGGCTTGTCGGACTTTCTGCACTCTGGTCTGACTGAACTGTTGCGTATGGCATGGCATCTGGCATAGAGGATAGCATCATGGGTACTACAGCCTGATGCTCTGAGGTAGTTCAGCTCCTCAAAAAATACATGCTCATAAAATTCAAACTATGAAAATATCATGTGAAGCTAGTGGGAGTCAGCCATCCTCGTACAAGGTCGAGTAACAATCCGATAGGTCAGCATAACCATGGACAGCCTCTTCGGGCCGCGATCATATGCCCACCATGAACCGCGGAAGCAGGACTTGGATTGATCGCGCAGGGTAGAGTACCATTCGATACCCTCCGGCATGCTCTTGGACTTGGTCAGTTGCCCGAAAGGTTGGCCGCATAGCGACCATTTGTGGTCGCCCTTCCGCCTGGTGGGAATGCGCGTATTCTTGCCCAACTCACCCATCCCAAAAAAATTTGCGCATTTTTTTCACAAGGTTCCAAGGTTGAACGAGCTCACGTGCATGCGCTCTTGGGCCGCCCTCTCCTTTGATACGTCCTCAACATTTCAGCGCATCGTCACATCCAGACCAGACGCGCTTCAAAATGCCTCTATCGTGTCTCTCAATGTTGAATGTGTGGCTGGTGCGGCTCGCGGCTGGTTCTTGGCGGAGTCATAGGCTGCAGTCTGAGGATCGCGGTCAATGGATTCACTGACCAAGGTCTCACTCGCGAAGCCTCGGAGCGCGGGAATTTCCCAACCTGAATGCGAGGCCGACTGCGCACTCTCCCTACTTCTAGCTTGTCCGCACTCTGACTGACCTGTACTCTGCATAACCCGCGACTGTTTCGACCGAAACGCAACCTTGCTCTTCGACACTGTCGCACGCGTATCCTCACACTCTGCCTCAGCATTCCCTTATCCCTCCATCCACTCCCTTCAGTTTCGCACGAGAAACCCAGTTGAGAAAGGTTCACATTTGCAAAGCGCCGATCCATCCATCATGAGTATCCCGAGCCAGAACCACAAGCGCACCCATGATGGCTACACGCCCGCTGACCTTCGACACGCCGTCCCCGCGCAGAAGAAGCAGCACACGGCCTCGAATGGGCCGCATGCCATTGCTAACCAGGCGAACGTTGGCGCTGTCCATCCACTCCTCAGCCAGATGTCATTTGGCGCACCGCAACCTGCGCCGCGACCAGTCCAGCACCACCCTGGCCCGTATGCCGCTCACGCTGGCGCTCATCATCATCAAGGTCAGCCGTGGCTCGCGAATGGACAGCAGCATCCACAGAATGGTGTCCCTCGTTCTCATCTCGCCTTCGACCCTCGTCTCCAGGCTTCCTTCCCCAATGGCGCGGCACCGAATGCTAACTATGGCGGCTTCCACAGCGGTCATCCCGGCGGACCTCAGCACCCGATGCAGCAGCAGCAAGCTTTTCAAGCACACCGCTTTCAACAAGGTCAGGCTTCCCCATATTCGCCTGTGATCCCGAATCGGCATCCGTCACCATACATTGTTAACGGGCAGCATAATGCTCACCCCGGCGGACTACAAAACCCGATGCCGCAGCATGCCATCCATACTCCCGCCTTTCAACAAGGCCAGGCCTCCCCGTATTCGGCCATGATGTCGAACCAACGTCCACCGACACCCTTCGTCAACGGACAGCCTAATGGACATCCTGGAAGCCGTCAGGACTCTATGGAGCCGCAACCTGTGCACGCGGCTGGCGCCCAAGCCCAAGTGCACGGCGGCGTGCTATTGAATCAGCGTCCGGCGACACCCTTGGTTAACGGCCAGAACAACGGCCATCACGGAGGCCTTCAGTACCATGTGCAGCAGCAACATATTCAGAGTCCTCGCCCTCACGAAGACGTCCGTTCTGTTCACAATGGTCAACCTGGAGGTCACCAGCATCTTGCGCAGCAGCAGCCTGCTCCAGCCCTCCGGGCCCCGGCACCCAGCGTCACCTTGCGGCGCCAGATTGTGCCCTCATCTCCGTATATCTCGCCATACTCTTCCATCGGCCCACCCACCGATCCTCCTGCAGACCCCCAGCGGGTTGCCTCCCAACAGCCCGCTCCAGCTCCAGCTCCCACTCCAGCTCCTCCCCAGCAGCACCCTCCAACCAGGTACCTCTCCGACGCCGACGAGTTCGACTCCACTCTCGACAGTATCCTAGGCAACAACCCCCCTGGCCACGTCTACGACGACGCCCTACTCGCTTTTGGCGCCGAGATCCTCAAAGAGCGCGAACCCGCGCTGCAAGACCGCGACCTGCCGAACATCGAGCAAGGTCTGCGGCGCAAACTCAAGCAACCTCCTCCACCACCGCCAGAGAAACGCCCACTACCTGATCCCCAGCGCGTCGTGGAGCTCGGGTTCCTCAGGTACCTCTCGAAGCCTATATACGACGAGAAGGAGACGCCGCGCCTGGTCCCGGAGCTGGACACTGATGAGGACCTGCACGTCCCACAGGGAGAAGAGGGGGATGATAATATGGAAGACGCCAGCAGCGTCCACACGCCCGAGTCCGTCGTCGACGTCACAGACTCCTTCGCCGCCGCAGCCCAGGAAGTCGCCCAGTCCTCCATTGACGACTTCATCCAAAGGTTCTCCGACCCAGCCGAGCAGGACATGTACGTGCGCGCCCACGGGTACCACAACGCCACGCAGTTCGCCCTCGAGCAAGTCGCGCGCCTCTGCCTGGACTCTTCTTCCCCCTCTTCAGCCGCGTTCTGGGGCCCTCACGGCTGGGTCGACATCCCCGGCGTCGGCATGATCCTGGGGCCGGCCGATCGTGAGCAGATGGCGGTGCGGCCAGACGCCGCGTGCAAAGCGGCCGAGGAGCCGGAGGCGGTTGAGCAAGCGGCGAAGGAGAAGAGGGAGCGGGAGGAAGAGGTGGAGAAGGAAGCGCGCCGGCAGGAGATGTGGGAGAAGGAGAAACAGCAGCAGCGCGAGCAGGATGAAGCGATCCAGGAGCGCATGCGTAAGGCGAGGGAGGAGAAGGAGGCGCGGGAGAAGCAGAGTGCCGCGGAGGCGGAGAGGATTGCTGCGGAGAGGAGGAGGGAGTTTGAGGAGCGGCGCGGTGCTGCTGCTGGGGGAGAGCAAGTTCAGGGTCGCGGCGAGAATCAGAATCAGCGACAGGGACTGCAAGTGCAAGAGCTGCAACAACAGCAACAGCAGCAACTGCAGCAGCAGCAGCAGCAGCAGCAGCAGCATACGACCACCACCTCCCCCACAGCCCTCCCCCCTGCCCCCCAACCCACCACTACCACCACCACCACATCCCCCGTCCCCGCCCCTCCAACACCCACCCCGAAACCCCAACCCGCCTTCCTAAAGTCCTTCCTCGAAAAATACGCCACCATGTCCCCCGCGCAAAAGCAGCGCGCCATCACGGACCAGCGCAAAGAAATCGAATACATCGACGAGTCGCTGGCCAGCGACCCGCGACCCCCGGGCACCGACCGCACGCGCTGGCGCAACAACCAGAACCGGCATCGGCGCGAGGCGGTCGCGAAGCTAGAAGCCGTGGGTGTCGATGTCGAGGGGATGAAGGGCGGGCGGAAGAGGCGGGCGGAGTCGGAGGCGCTGGCAGGAGAGCTGGAGGGGGCGAAGAAGCAGAGAGTGTAGAAGGAGAAGGAGAAGGAGAGGGAGGTGGTGAATGTGCTGGTTGATTGGCCGGTGGGGAGGTTGGGGCAGAGGTATGGGAGGGAGCCGTCGGGGGCGGAGATGCGGCAGCTGGTGTGGGGGTGGGCGTCTGGGAAGTTGTCGGCGGAGTGGTATCAGGGTGCCCCCTGGGGGCCGGCTGGGTCTTAGTCTTTTGCCTCCTACGTGTTTAGTTTTGTTTAATATTTCCACACGTCCCTTAGGACCCGTTATCCCATTCTGTTAGAATATATAGGATATTATCCTACATGAGCAGAAAGATCGTGATCTTTATGCTCCCGATACACTCGCTCCCCTACCCTACCATCTCCCTAACCGACTCCACATGATACAACTTCGCCAGCCTCCTCATGCTCTCCAAGTCCTCCTTAGTGACCAAGTGCCCACCCATCTTTGTCTCCTCGCCGACGCTCAACCTCGCCTTCCTAGCCATCTCAGCCACCATGCCCACATCCCCCAGCTCCCAGTAATTCCACCACTTAGCCTTCGCATACCGCACCGCGACCGCATGGTCCCGCATATCTCCCTCCTCCGGCATCTTCTCATTCGCCAGCAGACCCAAATGGAACGAGCTCATCTTCTCACCTGGCGGGAGAGGGAAAGCCTCGACGTAGTCGCGGTACCGGTGTGCGAGGACGGCATCGGGCTCAGTGCGGAGGAGATGTCGGAGTTCCTCTTGTAGTTCCGCTTTCCGCTGCTCTTTCTGCGCCTGTTCGGTGCGGTAGGCGTCGTATAGGGCCTTGCGCTCTCGGTATTCGCGTTGTTCGGCTTGGAGTTGCTTGAGGGCTTCCTCGTCTGCTTGCCTATTCAGTTCGCGTTGCCTGTCCAGTTCGCGCTGGAGGACAACGTAGGGATCGACGATGGGCTTCTGGATGAGAGGGGATGTGGCTGGGGTTGGGTTTGCGGTGTGGGTCGAGGAAGAGTTCTGGAAGCTAGTGGACATGGGCAGTGGATTAGGCGCGTTGACTGGGCCTGGATGTTGAGACGATGAAGGCCGGGCCGGTTGTTGGTGCGCATTGAATTGTCCAGGGTACTGAGTGGGAGATGGTTGTGGCGGCTGCGCTTGCGATGTTTGAGCCCGGTAAGCTTGGGCATATGAAGTATCGTTCGGTGGGGTTGGCGGGTACGGGCTTGTGTATGCGGGGGTCGTATTGATGCGCCCGGAAGCATGGTGCTGACTGCTAGACATCACCGGCATAGGAATGTTGCCCGCTGCGGAAACACCGTGTTGACTCGCGGTAGCTGAATGCGAAAGCGTGGGCATGTGGGATGTGTTGGACGGGCGCGACGCGCTCGGTTTAGGAGGAGACAGCAGCCGAGGATCAATGTTCGTTGTGCTCAAAGTCAGATTGGACGCTTGAGGGCGGCTCGTCTGCGGAAACGCCTGTGGCATGTAGGTTTGGGTGGGTGAGCCATGGATCTGTGGGACCTGCGACCGATGTTGTGGAATTGCCGCCTGAGCAGAACCTGCCCTCGCTTGTGGTTGGTGTCCCGTATACTGAGGCCTGCCATAACCACCATACCCATTATTCCACTGAATATAGTGTGACGCACTCCGATTAGCGGTATGCTGCGCAATCGGCGTTCGAGGTGGTGCCGGCTGACTGTACTGATGCCCTGCGTTCGCAAACTGTCCAGTGTATGGAGATCGGGAATGTGCCTGAGCGGATGGCGGATGGTGACCCATAGCAGAGGTAGTCCGCTCTAGGAGCGTGGTATGGTTGAAAGAATGGTATGCTGGAGTCGGTGTACCGTGCGGATTATCAGGAGACGTTGAGCGCGAGTCAACGATGGGCGTCTGTCTCCCTGACCGCGCTTCCATCCATGACGGCATTCGCTGTGGTTGCCGATGAGACATCTCGGTGAACGGCACCACCTGGCTGGCATTCTGTTGGTTCGCTCCTTCTCCGTAGCCTTGTAGAGCTGCTCCTCCATTCAGTTCCGCGCCGCCTGTATCCTCAGCCAGACCGGCCGCGACTAGCTCCTGGCGGAAGAAGGCCGGATCACTAAAAGCGGCCGCCGCATTCCTCAAGTCCAACTGCTCAAGCCTCCTCTTATGGGTATCGCAATTCCTCCAGTTCAGAATCTGCTGATAGCTCGACTTGGTGAAGGTTATCATATCCGCGAACCGTCCGACCGCTCGTGCGGCATCCATATCGCGAAGGTACGGTGGGAGACAGCCTGGTGCGTATCCGCTCGCTTCGTTGTCGAGAGTCGCGTTTATTGCGGCGATTTTAAGCTTTAGCTTGTGGAGCGCCCTGCTCCGCGGGGAGTCGCTTTGGGGCTGCATTGTGTCTATTGAGGTGAGCATGCAATAATGCGAGATACGGAGGCCGATATCCTTACCTTGCATGGGTTGTGCCATGTCGCGCTGTGGTGGTTGGAAGTGCAGTTGTGCGAGAGCGGCAGAGTAGATTTGTACGGCCGGTAAGAAAATGGCTAGACATATTCGCTGGAGTCTGGGTGAGTCTGGGTGAATCTGGGTGGGTCTAGGGCTAGATATTGTAGTCCTTCTGAAGTCGCTGGTGAATAGGTTTGTGGTGCGGTGAAGGTGAGCTGAATGGTGACGTCTGGCCTGAGAACCGACAATTCAGGCAGGTGCTACCTAAGGTTCGGAAGGAGGAATACAGTACATCTTGTTAGTGAAATGATTGCATTTATGCCCTGAAAGGATTTTAAAGATTCTCTGCCTGCGCGAGTGGACGGTGTAGATATACTATTAAGACTGATGCGTGTAAAGGGGCCTATGTGGCGAGCTTTCTAGAGCGGGAAAGCGACGACGCAAATGCACAAGTACACTGGTCCACGAGATCCTTGGGCAGAGGATGACTAGTAGCGCTCGATGGAGTAATTGGACAGATACATTATACAGCCGATGTCTAAAACTAAATAAACATATAAGTACAAAACACGTGATTGGTGACAACTTACCAGCTGAACACCCCCTATCTCGATCCCCATCAATACTCCACAACATTATGCCCAGTCAAATTAGGCCTAACCTCCCTCCCTTCCAGCCAATCTTTACACTTCGCATACAAAATATCCCTCTCGGGCCCACAGGAAGAAAAAGCGGCAGTCGGCCTCGTTGTCGACTTCAACCTCGTCGATGTTGAGCCGCGATTCAATAGTGACTTTCATCTTGGAGACGGCGCGCGTACGTTGGAGGTCAATAGTTTGCCCGTTGATGCGGTGCAGGATATAGGGGAAGGGACCGTGGGGTGTTTGTTTGGCGAAGCCTTCTTTGGACTTTTCGATGAAGTCGCCGATGCGGCATTGGATCCAGGATATCTCGATGATGGCTTCGGGTTGGAACATAGAGGCGTAGTTCTCCCATTCAGCGGTATCGCGGTATGTACCTGGGATGTCACGTGAGCGGATGCTTACACGGGACCGCGAATAGGTAGGCCCTCGTTGGGATAGAGACTTACCCCATCCCTCGCATATCTCACGGATCTTCATACGCTCGAGGACATCGGCATCGGTGCCGTGTTGCGGGTCGCGTTCGTAGGGCGGGTCGCGAGCGGCGGTTGAGTTGTCGTATATTCGCGGCTCTTCTCTACCATGTTAATCGAGTAGGCTTGTGAATACTCTCTCGATTGTATTGTTAACAAGCTTGGGGACGCTCGTCCCAGCTCATGTTGATGAACTCCCTCAGACAAGATGTGGCGGTCATGATTGCATCATTACGGAACCTGATGAGTTCATGGCGCATAGCGGTGTCTAACGGTCACTATCTAGGGATAGCAATTGCTCTCGGGTTATATGGACGTGTGAGGATGAGTGTGAGGGAATGTCTTTCTTGCGCCGGTTTGACGAGGGTTTTGTGCTGACGTCATCACCGCGAGTCATGCAACTGTCCACGTAATCGCTTTTGTAGTCATGCAAGTCCTAGGGTGGTGTTTATAGCCGAAGCCCCACGACGTCGCGTCCATCACGGTTCGGCATCAAGCCCAGCGCTTTTTACGACTCTTCCCACTACGACAAGCCTGCGGACCCAAATGCCACCAAGCACCACGGACCCGTCGTCAATCGCGCAGAAGAATTTAGGTTTCTCGAACTGGCCACCGCATGGCGCACGCACGTGCTTAGTCATTGCCTGTTTTCTTTTCCTAGGGTTCCTGCAGCTCCCTCTCAAAACTGAACTGAAGTTGACCTACAAAGCATCTTAATCTCCTCGCCTTCGATAGCTTTTCGTTCCGAGTCTAGGATCAACCATGATCAACACGGCCGCCCCGTCACGTGTTGGCACTAGCCACCTAGACGCCTACGCAGCCCTGTATTGACCTGATCACTATCAGCAGCTCTCCACGCTGCCTGCAAAGAGCAGAAATGCCGTCTCTGTCCTGGTCGCCTCTATGACAAGGCAAACGAACCAACGCTGATCCCATTGGGCCTTTCCGAATCAGAGCAACACGTCCTCGACCGGCGGAGAAAGGGCGTCTCAAAGCCCATCAGTGCTCGCATCCCGTCGTTCACGCACAATCGTCGGAACTCCAAAAACTTCGGTAGATACCTCTACACGTATCACCTTCCTGGTCACAACAAGCAACGAGCTCACCACGAAACCTCCTCGCAAGGTCGTGGGCATATACCCACGCCAATCCGGAGAAATATCGCACACAAGAGAATTGAGAGGTCATTTATAACCCTGGGTTCCTGGATGGCATACTCAACGAGGGCGATATCCGCATCTGGGAGCTTCTTAGGACGCTGCAGAAGCAAACTTCCCGTGTCACGTCTACCCAGATCCAACAAGCCGAGCAGGTCCGCCACCAGCTCGCTACAAGTCTTTGGGTCGATGAAGTCTGGGTGTTTCCAGTCCTAAGTGTATTCTGTTCCTGGACAATGCCGACGTGCGAGACAGTGAGAACATTTACTGGCACATTTCTCGGTCTGCCTACTTGTGTGCCACCGGCATCCCCGCCAAGACGTAGGGTGGGTGTCAGCCGAGTCGATCGAGCCCGCCGGGACTGCTACTACTCCGCAACAGATGATCTGGGACACTGGATCAAGGCTTTGAGCACCCTCTCACCGAAATCACGTCAGGCTGTTTCAGGAGCGCGTCTCACAGTATATTTGGTCTTCACCAGCAAATGCCTGTTTAGGTTGGTTAACTGAAATGGAGTTTCCAGTTACTAATTCCAGATACTATTCGAGCGCGTGTCTACACACATACAAACTGGACCTTCTTGCAGAGGATCTGTCCAATGCATCCGGCCTTCGCTCAAGCAGCCACATCGCCGCCGACCAGTGCCTTAATCCATCACAGCCCTTACCCTGTCCGTCAAGGGCCCATCGCACGCAAAGCACTTAGTTGAACTTGTGTCCATTGGCCCTTGCATGCTCCCCAATTCTCACTCGGTCCTGGCGAATCATGTCGCGATGGCTATCCGCCGCGTCCGTGTCCGCACTAGCCCTCATCGGCGTCAAACCCACGTCCAGCCCGTTCACCACAACGTAGTCTTGCACCTCGCTCAGCATGAGTCGGTGATCGCCCGTGCGGATTACCTCCTCGAGGACACGGGTCAGCAGACGCCGGCCTTCGCCGCTCGGAAGCCGAGTCAGATCGACACCCCGCGCAAGTTCGATGACCGGGTAGTCGGTCATATTGTCTTGGTCGGTGCGGTTCATCTGGGGTGAAGGAGTCCAGTGCTGGACCGTGAAGTCGGTGACGGGGGTGTCGCGCGGGCACAGCGGGGGTTCGCCATTCTGGGGCTGGTGGAAGGTTCGCTCGACGTGCTCGACGTAGGTGGAGAGCGAGTTCGAGAGCAGCACGTCGGGACACCAACGCTGTCGCGCCCAGTTCTGATACATGTTAGCACTTGAGCTTAGTTATAAGATGTCAGAGGGAGCAGCTTACGATGTAGCCTGCAATCTGGCTTCGAGCATATCCCGCCTCTTGCATGCGGTGATAGTAGTCGTGCCAGTTGTGGTGCGCTGGAAAGAACTGGCGTTCATGAGTAAGAGTCTATCCCAATTTATAACTGAAAATTTTCGCTTACCGTGAGCAGCTCCTCCGTCGACAGCTCAATGCCACCCAACAACCGAAGATCCACGAAGTCTGGTGGAGCATTGCTCCACAGCTCGTTCCAGTGAACTCGTCCAGCCGCAGGAATGAGGCGTCGGTTCCCCGGCAAGCGCATGCGCAAACCGCCCTGCGACAAGTGCCAGATGTTGATGCCGCGAGGGTTACGAGGACCGAGAGCGCGCGTGACACCGCCCGGCGCATTGCCCCTGCCGTCGTCGCCAGCGTGGACTGGATGCCTCAGGCGCTCGCGGCCGGCGAAGGGGTTGGCGTTTGCTGGTACTCCCTCGACGTTGCGGTACTGGCGGCCCTGGACCCGAAGCTCACTAGGCGGCCTAGGGAAAGCGGTGGTAGCGGGGGCTATCTGGATGCTCGGGGCGTTCGGCTGCGGTGTCGCCGGTCCACGGGGGTCAGCTTCGGCTGGAGAGTCATCGGGCCGCTTGCGCTTTCCCGCTGCGGCATCTTTTGGTTGCTGTCGGGCGCTAGATTGAGCCGGCAGTCGCGGAGCACGGGGTCGGTTGCCCATCAACGACAGGTAACTCTCCTCCTCGCGCCGATCCTCCTCCTCTAGCATCTGCTCAAAGCGGGACCGTTCACGTGGCCGGCGAATGGGACGAGTAGAGCCAGAGCCTTGTTGGAGAGGAGACGGGTTGAGGAGGGGATTCTGCCGTACACCAGCATGTCCTGAAGGACGAGGCGTATCGGTCTGGAACACCGTACCCGCATAACGTGGACCTGGAGTTGGAGTGAAGGGACTCGCAGCTGGCTGAAGAGGACGTATGCCCGTATGAGGGGGGAGGGACGTATCTGTTGCGGGAGGGGGACTAGAGGGGGACTCGTCCGGGGGGTAGGGATAGCCGTGAAAGAGAGGATTTGGGCGCCTTACGTTATCATCTTCAATCCACTCCTCAAGGCCATTGTATCCGACCCGCTCGTTGCCCCGAACCGATCCTACGGAGGAAGAGCCCTCGTCGGTGGGAGGATTGGCTGCCATGGAGTCGGTATCGGTTTGCTCTACGGTTGGAAACTGTTAGATGCGGTATCTCTCAAGGTTAAAGAGGTTGAGAAGCTTACCAGCTGCTTCGCTACCCGTGGCGCTCTGATGCGGATGCTGCTGCTCTTGCTCGCTCTGACCCTGCGCTTGACCCGAACGTCGGTTTGACGAAGAACCGCGATGCAGCGGATAGGGACGCCTAGAGTCGCTCATGGCGGTTGCGATGAATACCTGCTACGAGAGGAGGAGGAGATATATATAAAGTTGAACGAGAGTGTTTGCGGGGTTGAGGAAGGTCGCCGATGAAAAGAGAAGAGAAGTTCCGAGAAGCGCGGATGGTGCGCTTTATCCTTATATGGGGCCACGCGCTTTATATCGGGCCATTGGAAGTTCGCGGGCATTCACCTGCGAGGCTCGTCATTGGCCTGCCGAAGATTTTGGATTATCGGTGGTGGGGTAGGGGGCTGTGAAAGGCACTCCTAGCGTTGTTAAGGCTGGGGGCAAGGGTCTCGTGGGGGATCAAGGCCATAGTGTTGACTTCGTCGGTCGAGACTCTTTATATGTGTAAGTGTAGAGAGCGAAAGTGCACGCGCGCATCCCTCATCATCCTCGCACAGTCACGCGGTACTCTGGCGGATGGATGACGTCCATGGGCACAAAACAGGTCCGGTGATTCCCCGACTCCAACCGCCTCCAACCACATGCGGCTGCCCGAAACTACTTAACCTACATTACAACATGTCCACCGTTGGCAAATTCCGATCATATCCACGCCAAAGTATCTATCATAGCTCTAAAACTTCACACTGTACTTGGACTGAGAAATACCTCAGTTTGTTCCACGTGTCTTTGGCGCGCCCACCAGCCTTTCCTAACCGATCTTGCAAAGACGGAACCACCCTTCTACTGGGCTTCTTCGCACACTCCTCTTTGGAAGGACATGGTGCCATTATTAACTACATGCAATACGCTCTACAAGATTTGCCATGTAGCACTACTCCCGGAATATCGAGCTCAAACACCTATTCCCTATCTTAGCATTCGCGCAACCCTACTTCAAATAGAGCATGCCTTACCCTTTCAACTAGCCTGTCCTGCATTCGCAAGTGCCATTCGCCTTCCGCTTTTCTCTAGCAGCGGCTCATCATGGCTAAGGATGTACGGGCGCATTTGCCTCTGCGTGTAGGCAGCGGAGTTTTTTTCTCGTACTTGACTTACTCGAGCCGGGAGAAGACTTCGTCTAGGTCAGGCCAGGGGCTGGGAGGGGGTGTTTGGGGAGATGTGCGAGGAGGCGTTCCAAGGGGTGTTCGAGTTCGTACTGGGAGTTTTAAACAGTGAGAGGGAGGAGGATGTTGCTTTGACGCAGCGAGTGGGGCTGAGAAATTGGGTATACAATGCTTCAGGGCTGTTCCGGCATTGTCAGGAGGGTTTGAAGTGCTTCCTTCAATGTCCGGCCCTTGCCCCCGGTCAGCGCGGTGACGATACTACGCAAGCTTTGCAAACGAACCTCGAGCATTCCCATTCTCGCTCTCTAACGCAGACTTAGGCCTCAAGGACTTTAGAACAGGGCAACCAAGGTGAATATAGACTAAGCGGGATATCGAAAATTCTAAGGCTCCGTCCCTGTTGATTTGGAATCTGCCGCCACGGGAGTGGTACTACTAGTGTACTGGAAGCTGGATATGCTCTCTGGTATTGTTAGCTGATACTACGAGAGCCATTAGTCTGAGATTAGGTTTCTGAAGTTCAAGGGCAGGAAGAACCTACTGGCTGAGGTGACGAGGCTAAGGGAGGGAGGGGAATCTACTGTTGTATGTGTGTAAGGGAAAGTAGCGCCCGCTGATGGCTATGGGGAGTATCAGATAGTAATGTTTTATGGTTCAATATATTCGCACCGGCTGCTGTGAAGTAGTTGTGGGATCTAAACGTTGCGGCCTTATAATAGAAGTGTAGCAGACAGGTTTAGTGATTATAAGTCGATGTTATGCTGGGGTGTAAGTGGTGCGGCAGACTCCGCTGATATGGGCAGGAAGTGCATTATCCGCAGTATGAACATCCTGACGCTATACCTTTTAAGGCTAGCGCCGACAGCATCGTCAATTAGGAATCACGTGATCTTCTCCGTCCAAGAGAACTCTGTGGAGTCTGGTCTTGAGGGGCTAATAGGTGTCTTAAATTACTGGTGTAGCCTTTTCATTATAACAATGTCTGGCCTCAAGTAACACAAGAAGCATTGATAGCTCCCAGACATTTGAAGGGGCATGTAATTATAGAACTGGGGATGCAACGAGCTGATACGCTTGGTTAGAGATGTCTTGTGCCGAAAGAAGACAGCTTGCGTTACATACTTTGGTGATGTTCAAGTTTAGGTCGCCCTTTCTGCTGGGGTAGGATGTCAAGCAAGTCGCCTCCACTTATCGCCGTCTTTCCAAGCCTAGACCACTCGTAGACATCCCTCGAACCTTTCAATGTAATCCATGACCAGCTGATATATACCGTCATTGAAACCTTGTACTCATCTCTCCAGTAGTCGGCCAGCATTGCTAACTGTACTCAGACTAATTCCCTTTCCTCATCTCAGTCGAACCTCAGCCGAGGACGGTTGCGCGTTGGTTGCTGCACAGCAGCGTCAGCTTGAGCAGCGTACTGTAAGCGGTGGAACATCACCTCAGAGTGGTTCAGGTCGATCTTGTTCCTCTGCTGCTCGACAGTCGTGTTTCGAGTCTCAGCCATCTCCTCCTTGCTTGCCATTTTTGGGGCCTCGATCTTGTTGTTGCCCTTCGGCCTTCTGGCAGCCTTACTCGGAGTTGTGTCATTGTGGAGAGAAGAGTCAGCGCTGTTCATCGACTCGACTGAGTCGGAATCCTCGCCGTTGAGGTCAATGATCGGTCGACGGAGCGATCGGTCTCCAGTGGTCGGTGCGGAATTGTCATTTGGCTCCCTTGAAAACGCCTGGTTCCGGTTTCGCTTCTTCGTGGCTGGGGCGGCGGCTCTCCGCACCTCTTCCTGCGCTTCCTTATTGAAGACAAACCCCTCCTTCTCCAAGGCTGTCTGGTACTCGAGCGATAGTGGCGCGCTGCCACCGCGTGTAGCGTACACAGGCTCGAGGTCAACCCCACCGTCAGGTACATCCCACCAGCAGCTAACCGTCGTTAAGCCTTCACCCATCCCGCGCGGCTCCTGCGTCTTCTTCGGCCCCTTGAGGTTACGAAACACCAGCACCCTCTCCTTTCCCTCTCCGCGCCTATACGCATCTTGTATTTCTTGAGAGCTATTCCTGAGGGCCTCGAGGTGGTGATCGTAGTATGAGAGCGCCCAGGGTGTGAGCTCCAGGCGGCCGCGGTTGAGGTCCCAGTGCCACATAAGCGGTTTCTGGGTCTTCATATCGAAATGGTTCCATTGGACGTGCCAGAGGGACGCGAGGATGCCGCGGACTTTACGCGCTTTGTGCGGGGTGTTGGGAAGGTCGATGTCTTCGTCTTCGCGTACTACGCGTTCGTGCCAACACCGCGCCATCGTGGGCTGACCGGGGCGCTGGTGAAGAGACTCCCACGTCCAAGGCCAAGTCGGAGAAACAGCCCGCTCCGAAACGTTCCGCAGATGAAGCCTGCCTCGAGAGCTTCACCACCCCGATCAAGAAAGCCAAAACCGAGTTCAACGTCTCCGAGCGTGATGATGACGATGCTTCGGCGGAGTGTGCGGCGGGAAGGAAGAAGTGCCGAAATGAGGAGTTGTCAGATTCAGTGGATCGGGTCCGGTTGGTGGGCGCCGATGAAATCTCGCGAGGCTCGGGTGGGCAATGGGAGGGAAGGAACGACGTAGCGCGAGCAGGTCCTCCAGCTTACTTTCATTCGGGCCGAAAGCACTCAGGGTTGGGATTCACATGCTTTGAAAACTGTTGAAAAGTTTTGGTCGGTGGTGAACGAACGCTCGGAAGACTTGTAGTCGTCATCGGCACAGCTTGACCTGGAGCGTACGGGATTTCACAAAGTGGCCCCAGGATTACATGAGTAAACCTTCAATATATACTTGAAATATTGCGAAGGTGTTGGTTTGGGACGACTGCGTAGGATAATGGCTCGCATATACATGTTAATTCGCCTTGCGCATACGGTAGCACAGCGGTGTGGTTTAAATCACGACTCGGCAGTCTTCTCAAACCCGAAGGTCAATCACTCGGATTTCCAAGTTTAAAAAGCTTCATACTATACTACGCCTCCTTCGAAAGTTTTGGTTTCAATGGAATAACTTTTTACAATTTCTCGGCACTTTAAGAGCTTTCCGAACTAGAGCGTTCCCGTTTGTCGCCACGGATCGCAAGACACAACCTTGGGAGAGTAAACGTCTTGGGCATGGCTTATTCGACATAGATGCAGGCCGGAAGAGCAAGTCTGCATCTGAAACGATCCGACTTTTGATTTATGAAGCTATCTTGAGAGCGGGGGAGGGCGCAAGAAGGGCATTTTAAACAGATAGGCGAGCCGTGCTGGGCGGCTCGCCAACGGCGCTGAGATCCAAAACCGTAATCCGACCTCAGTTTCCACTCTCCACAGACTTTTCTGCATGCACATGATTATCACCCCTGGGACAGATACCCTCCAGCAACCCATCGCCCAACTGTTCCTTACTATCCGCTAACGCAGTCGCGCCCTCTTCGTCGCTGGCTCCGAACCTGCCTCGGAGTCCGTCTCCCATTCTAACTCATGATCGCTACCACGCTTCTTTCCTCGCGGAGATTGCCCACCATCGGCGGACGAGACAGCGTCTGTTTGCATTGCTTGCTGGAATCCGCCTAGCTGAAGTGAGTGCTCGCGCGCCGTAGCCGCGGATGGGGCTTCTTGCTCAGCAGCACGCTCGACCGCGAAAACGGTCACTAGACCTGGCACGTTACGATCGACAATCGGACCGGCGGAAATATCGGTAATTTCGATTTCATAACTCTGCGAGCGCGAAAGGGGACTAGATGGTTCTTCGGCGGGTTGCGAGTCCCAAGGGTCGACAGTGTCTGGTGGCATTACGAGTAGTTAGCAGGCAATGACTACAGTTTGGTAGGTATCAACACTTGCCCGCTGAAGCTAGTTCGCTCCGGTCGTTCTCCTCATCAAATTCGGCGTCGTAGTCGTCACCGTATCCTGCTGCTTCGACGCCCTCCTCTTCATCTCCATTGTAAGCATTGCTGTGGTCTTCCGGGTACTCAGTAAATCCTTCTTCGTACCAATCATAGTTGTCTTCATCCTCTTCTTTTATAGGCACTTCTCCATCCTCCTCGCCGTCACTGACTACTCCTTCGAAGCCTTGCAGCATCTGACTGGCGCCTAGAGGTGACGAGGAAAGGCATAGATCCATTCCATCCTCGGGATGCGAGAGTCCGCAGAGATTGCACCAGCCATAGTCCTCGGCCGTCTCGACCACTTCTTCCAGAGGGCGAACCGGGGGCGGGGCGCTTCGATCAGGCGGATTTGGGCAAATTCCGCCGGAGTCACTATGATTGCGCCCACAGACGTGGCAGGTCAGCCACCGATACATGTTGCGAAGCGGCATATAATTCGGAAAGGTTAGATAGGGAGGTAGGATAGACCCTCCATTCCCCACCGGCACGATTCCCTCGTCAGCCCCATCGAGGGAGATGCCACCTGTGGAGCGCGGCTGCATATATATGGAAGCACTAACGTTTGCTGCGTCATATAAACGTTCGAGCGGATGCCTCCCGTTCTCTGCTTGCTCGTGAGGGCTCCACGGGGCGTATAGTATCCTCCTAGAGTGATCGACAGCCAAGGGGCACTGGAACAATCCGGAATGATACATGTGGGAGCGATTGCAGGCCTGACAGTACACGTCGCGATACTCAATGACGTCATATCGAGGATAGAGCGTGGTCGGCTGCGCAGCTGGTACCGGCGCGTCGTCCTCAGTAGCCTCTTCTAGACGAGGAGGAGCACTTATGGAGCGTGGCTGCGGGGACTCGACAGCTTCCTCATCGCTTGCGGCATTATTCCGATCATAGACATCCTCGGCAGGGTCGTCCGCGACTGGGTCATGGGCCGTGAGCTCACGTAGGTTATCTGCTATGCCTTAGCCGCGGCCACGTTTCCAATAAAACAGAGCGTACTCACCCAAGGTGGCATCCTCTTCGGGTCCGGGGGACCCATACTGAACTCGGTTGATGCCGCGATTCACAAGCATTTGTGTGACCGGGTCCGTGAATTGGAAGCCGACGAACAACGAAGTCTCGGCCGGAGAGTCGCGCGCTGGCATATAACTTTTAGCTATAAGTACCAGCCATACGAATAAAGATCCCATACCTAGACTTGCGCGAATGAGGTTCTTGACGGATTGAGCGGCGCCGCTAATAGTAGAGTCGCTTCTCACAGCCCCAGGAGGGAGTTCGTTCATTGTGAGCGGTGTGTAAGGAGAATGGTTTAAAGGATTCTGGTGGCTCGGAGAGGTTCGAGAGTGCTCAGCAGCGGTAGATGGAAGAAGGCGTATAGGTGACAGAGTAAGAGTCGAGTCTTCGCGGCCGGAAGTCGTAGGATGTACATGGACGCGGAACCGGCATACTTCCCGGCCGGGAAATCACGCTACGCAGCAGGGATCCCTTCGCTAGCGTAGCACAAAAGGGCAGCGTGAGGGTGCTCGACGCACGTGGATGTCAACAGGCATGCGGCGTCCGTGCGCCGACGATGAAGCTCGCCACTGACCAGCTACAAGAGCATCAGGACAGGGATGGCAAACTGAGCCATCGTAGAAAGAAGATATAGACTGAAGCTAGCGTCTCTATAAATATGGAGCCTTCATGTTGTAGGGTAGAACGTGTCGTGACGCACAGAGCTAAGCCGGGCTTGCGGGAGAGCTTGGAGGGCGGGGTGGACTACCTCACATTTGAGCAGGTATAAGGACTAGGGAAGGAGTCAAGCTCATAGAATTAGTCGATTTGGACGCTTTATGTCAATTTAGGCCACGTCGTCGCTGGAATTGCGGCTGTTTGGCAGTCAACAGCTAAACCATGATTTCAATCTGCCTCTCATGTCCGAGCAGGAAGCAGTTTTATAGAAGCTGTAGCAATCATAGGGAGCATCAAAAGGCTGCGTGGTAAGTATAGCAAACGTCTGGCCCTGCTCCTATATGGCGGCCGCCTCGTGCTGTTCAAGGGGGGCTCGACGGCGGCAAGTCCTCGCCGGGCACTTCGAGCCCAAGGGAGCTGGATCGTATATGTCTTCTAACAATTCTATCAGCATAGATCCTCCCAGAGACTCATATGCTTACATTGTTTAGCTCTTGTCATGCAGTAACCGGCGCGGCGCGGCACGTGGGGGAAAATTCGGTCGTCCGGTATGTTTCACCAAATGCTCGACAGGCAAGTACGCGCGCTCTCCACACGCTCCGTCTCACCACCTTCAAACCACCGCAACGGAGACAACCCTCCTTCCTGCAGACCGTATTAGTATTATCCAACTCCGATACTCTACCTACGGCGAAACAAGATGAACGGCGCATCCGGCGACGACTGGATGGGTACGGATATGCCCAACCCTGCGGACCTGGACATGTTCGACGACATCGCGAGTAAGTTGCCACTTCGAGGCTATGGAGCTATTTGCTGACAGAGTTGCAGTGACCGAAGACGACCTCGAAGCTTTTGCTTCGACACACCCAATGTTCGGAGAAGAAGTACAACCGTACCTGCCGTCCGATCTGTACTTCGATGTCGAGGCTCCGGCTGCATATGACTTGCTCGGCAACTACGACGCCCTGCCAATGCCGGTCCTCGAGGAAGCTCTGCAACTACAAGACTATGATAGAGTCGTTGGCGCTGGTCCTGGTGTGCTCGCTACTCCGGCGCAAGCCCGCGCATCGCCGTTCCAGCAATTGCTGGCTGTGACGCCTTCCGCCAGCGGTCTAAGGGAGATGGTGCCCCGCGCAGCGGCAGCCGCTATTCCAGAATCTGGGAGCCACGCTGCTTCGTTGTTCGGTGGCTTTCGAGTACAGCGACGGCTGGCAGCAGCTCCCAACCCTGGTGTGCTCCCTTCCAGCAACTGGGCACTCGACCTCCACACCCCTGTCTATTTGCACGCAGCTGGAAACCAAAGCGTAATCTTCCCAATCGTGCTCAGCGTCGGGTACCTTCCAGCTGCGAACCAAGGAAAGCCGTGGAGGATGGCCAAGGCCAAGGGCTGTATGTACTACCCGTGGTCGACGGGTCGAATCCGCTTCTGGGTCACGAATAAGGCCGCCCAGTACCGAGAGAGGGGCGACGCCAATATCCCTCTGCATGAGTATATTCGACAAGCGGTCAACGATCTTGTAGCTCTGGTCCCGACTGTATGGGGCGCAGTCCTGCATCCACTCGACTCTGAGGCTACGCCGCCGTGCGTCGATGTAACCTTATGTGGCGGCCGCATCCAGCTTTCAATCGTCGAGATACTGACGGTGAGTCGAGTTCGAGATTAATATGCGACCCAAAAGCTAATGTGGATCCGGCAGTACTTCCCGCTGCACACGAAGTGGGCTGAGATCATGGTCCGACTGAACGAGAGCGGATGGGATGTGCCGACAATCCGGCGCTTCATTGTGAGTACTCCTCAAGTGCTATCTGAGTTTTGCCTAATCAAGGACTGTAGATGATGGTTCGAAGCCTGCGAGATCCGGACGTCATCAGTCGAATAAAATTGTCGAAGCACTTGCGTAAAGCGAGGGAGTGGAAGCGACAGGCGGAGAATATCAACCGACCAACGAACTACACCATGCGAGACATTTCTAAAGACCATGGCGGGCGTGGTGCCAATAGCGTCAGATCGGACTTCTATCTCGTCGATCTCGCAGAGGGAGTGACGACCCATCCAGAGGGGACCGACGCTCGAGAACTAACTGCCGCTGTTGCACATGCGAGGCGGAACCGACATGATTTTGTTAAGCTCAGCCAGCTGGAGCAATACATTCGACTTCACGATCTACGGCCTCACAACCTTCCAGTAGTCAATCGAGTCGCGGACCGGGCGGCTCGGGCGTACCACCTCCACGCCATGAAGCAATATGCTCATAACACGGTATAGTTCTTCAAGGCGGCTGGGCTAGAGTCCGCATTGATGGCGTTCTGAGAGATAGTGGGTTCAGCGAAAATAGTGGTAACCCTTGGCAAGGTCACCCCAGCGGAAAAGGCTTTCCTCTTCTATCGATTCCTCGATGAGTAGTCCCACTGGTTGTGAGTTATAATCAAAAGTCATCTCTCCTGCTTTCCGTGGTAGCTTGATCTTCCTGAGAATGCGCTGTGTCGTGACAATGCAGCCTATCAGTAGATAGGCGACGAACATGATGGCGACTGAGACCAGACCTGGCAACAAGTAAGCCAAACAAGCTCTCGGAGAGAGCTTGTTTGACTTGATTCTTGAGCTCTGATTGGCTTGTTTGGCTTGATTTGTTAGGAATTTCGCTCTAGCTTGTTTGATTGGCTTGTTTGATTGGCTTGTTTATAGCTTGAAAAGCTTAGCAGATGAATTAAACGGTCACGTGCCGTCGTCAAGGTTACTGTACAGAATTGACTCAGGGGCTTTCCCAGAGCCCCTAAGAGGCTTTTGCGAGGCTTCAAGCCAAGGCGCTTCTAGCTCCGGAGGCTCTGTAGGGCAGAGAGTAGATCAGGCTTTATACTTAGACGTCGTACTTCAAGGAGGTCCCCAAGCTCTGAGAAGGTCCTCTTACAATTAGTGGCTGCTGCGGGTATACTCATGCCGTATTTATCAAAGCCATAGCCTCTCTTGTTCTCCCGGAGGTGTCGCGCTATCGTAGTAGTAGCGAGGTTAACGGCGTAGAGGCCTCCAGCGGCTCTGTGGGTGTGGCAATATTTGCAGAGCCAATACAGCTTCTACCGCTTTTAGTGGTAAACTCGATAGCTATACTCCTACAGCTCTTATAGGACTGCTTTGGTTCGTACAGGGGCAACTAAAGCTCAGGTATCCAACTGTAGTTAATATTATCGTAATCAGAGCCACCGATAGGTGTAGGTGTTGAGGATGGGGCGTTTTCGATCGTATCGAGCTCGGAGGGCGTATCAGTCGCGCAATCGGTCGCGTCATCGTTGGTAGGCAACTGTGAGCCCGCGTTTTCAATACGCTGCGAGAATACTTTCGAGAGGTTAGCGTTCATGCTTTCTAAGGGCTTTGGCGATAGCCGCAGGGCGATAATTGATGGAAAAGGTGGTGTTGAAGGTGAGGGCGCGTAGGGTGGTTAATGTCGACGGAAATGTTTGGCGCGTTAGAGTTAACTTACTTTAGACTAGTGCGATAGGGTGAGCCAATCAGAGCACAGGGATCCCAGAGCTCAGAAACTCAACACCACAGAAATCACAGGAATCACGGAAATCGTACATACGGCAACTCTATACAGCCTCACATATTTACAGCAAATTGAGGGCTGCGAAACAAGTCAAGCCAAACAAATCATCGCCTTCTAGCTTGTTTGTTTGATAAAATCGGCTGCGGCAGCTTGTTTGGCTTGATTTGAATAAACAAATCAAGCCAAACAAGTTATCAAGCCTTACTTGTTTGCTGCCAGGTCTGACTGAGACATTGTACTCGAGCTCGTTGAGAAGCTCACGATACTCGAGTCGGTCTCCACATTTTCCTCTCGAAATCTGACTTAGTTTCGTGGTAGAATACGTCTCTTTGTGGGAATAGCGATGTAATAGACTTGCGAGCCTAATGTTGTTCGTCCCGTATACTGATGGTAGCCTCAATATGCCATATCTGGAGAGATGTCGGAATTTGTAGTCCAAGGGCGCAACTAGAGCGTCTCAACCCCATCAAGACGCGTCTTCTTCTGTCGTAGCGCCACAATGCGGAGCGAAAGCACAAGTTCGCCAAGGGTTGCGCCCTCCTCTGTTCCTCCGCTCTGCTTTCACGCGTGGTCAGGGTGACGATACTCCTTTCACCGTCCGGTAGAACTCTGCCTCTTAAAGAGCTCACCGGTTGGCGCCAACCCAACACCCCAACATACAATCCCTCGACCTTTCCAACTCACAACGTGAGCGTGCATCTCAACATGGGCTCCAACCGACACCGTCTCTTCTCTCTTAAGGCCGTCGCGGACGCTTCGCCGCAACCGCTGGGATTAAGCGCCGCCATGTACCCTTCCGATGACATCCGTGAGACCTCTTTGTTTCTTTTCCTCGACGAAGATCTGTGCTAACATTGTTTACAGGTGTTGCTGGTAAGGCAAGCGGTCAGCTGTACAGCTCTGGGTCTTCGGTCGCGGCTGCCTCCGCCTCAGTTAGCGGCATGCAGGTCGCCGACGCTGGCTCTTTCAAGGACGGCCCTGAGGAACAGCCCGCCCCGCGGCGCATGTATCCTCCCCCGCGGAACTTCTGGCCGAAGGCTTCTACCCCAGTCCGCGCTGAGTGGAACTCCACTTTCGCCCGTGGCCATCAAAAGAGTCTGGACGCAATGGAGCAGGACCTTCAAGGGTTAGAGACCCACTACAGCTACGAGGATGTCGTGGCCGGGATGGCTCGCCGACGCGACCAAGAATACACCGGTGACTATCTCCGCTATTCCCTCCTCGATGACCATCTTCCCTATATCGTGGTGCTGAAGACCCGGAAACTAGTCGAGACTATCCTCAAGTACAGTGAGAAACATCTCGTGGACCACGTCGACTACGATGAGTTCATCACCGGGTTGAAGTTCTGGGACGTAGATGCCGACGGAGCCTGGGCGCTTCTTAAGGAGTGGTACTTGCTGTTCAAGGAGGCGCCCGAGTACTTGAAGATTGCCCCGAGTAACGTCCAGTATATTTTTAAGAGCCTGAGACGCAAGGATGCCCAAAAGTTGCCAAGCATTACCGAACTTGTCAAGACGGAGGAAGCCGAGGCGGCGACGCAGGCTGATCGCGAGAAGGCTGAGTGGGAGCGTGTCCTGCATGAAGAGGAAGCTCAGAAGGCAGCAAAGCAGCAGGCTGCGGTTGAGTGGATCGAGCAAGAGCGTATCGCGCAGGGAATGGCAACCGAGAACCAGGCAGCTTTTGTTGCTAATCCTTCTCCTATCATGACCTCAGCCGCCGCAAAATATCACACCGAAGGCGACCTGACGGAGGCTGCTCGACTGGTTACTGGCATTAGCCAGTACATTAGGACTCCCACCACTCCTCCGATCCGATCCAAGGATGCTGCTGTCGTTGCAACGGCTGCCCAACCTTACAAGCTCGCTGCTCTTCCTACTACCCCGTATTCGAATGCCACCTCTATTGCTCCAACTGCGAAGAAGCCTAAGGCCCCGCAATCACTCCTGGGCAAGCGTAGACGGTGTGAAGACGAAGAGCCACAGGCACGGCCTCGTAAGCTTGCCGCGGTCGCTTCTGCTAGCGGCAACCCCATGCCGACAGCCCCTTCAAGTGAGAAGAAGAAGAAGACGGTGAAGGCAAAAGGAGGAAACCGGGACCCGGGGAAGGGTAATACGGGCACCACGCACTACAAATTCCCAGTCGGTCGACTGCGTAGCGCCCGCGGGATTCTAGGCGTTCAAGATGATTCGAATTTGCCTCCAAGTGCCTTGGGTGGCAAGGAGCACGAGCTGCGAAGCCACTGCACGCCGCCGAACGTTGACATTACGTATTGCGACTTCGATATGAGCGCGGAGGAGATCCTGACAGTAAGTCCCGAGTTCCATCTTTGGGGATTATTCTTGCAGCTAACGCTTACAGTACTTCCCACTTCATACAGTTTGGCGGGGAGTATCTTACCGGCTGAGATCCCATAAATGGACGGCGCAGAGGATTGCCGAGTTCATTGTAAGTCTTGTTCTTCGTTCACTGATTGGCTTAAGCTGGCTAATATCTCGACAGTACTGGACACGCAACCTCAACGACGACAAATGCTACAAGCGCACCACCATCCAGAAACAGTGGGGCAAGAAAGTGGTCCAGGGAGACCAGGTCGGCATACTGGAAGACTGGAAAGTCCGCAACCCACAGCATGTCATATCGGCCAATCTACGAGGCATGGACAGGGAGAACGGACTCGGCTCAATCAATACCGCATATATCGACTACTACTTAGTTGACTTGGCGGAAGGAGTCAAGCGGCACCCAGAGGGAAGGGGAGCACAGTCGCTTACGAGGGCTATCCGCCACGCCCTTGAGCACGGACATGATGAGAAGAAGCTCAGCGAGGTGGCCGCGTACGTGAAAGAACATAATCTTGCGCCGCCACCTCACGAGGCGTTCTCGAGAGACGTACAGGCCGAGGACAAAGCTTCCAAGGACCGACATGACGCACTGCAGGAACCGGCGAGACTGTGGTATAAGAACAAGTTTGGTCATCGTCCAGAGTGAGGATGACTGTGGAGGCCGGAAAGATGCTAAAAGGAAGATAGCTTCGAATAGTGGCTGTCTTTCTTTTGTGGTTGCGTTCTTCTTTCTGAGTTCATTTCTTGAGTGGTACTTGATCGGATCCACCATCGTCCATCTCATCCTCCCTTGCATGGCAGGCTTGCGGCGAAAAGATTGTTCGCTCCTTTGGTATTTAGGGGCGAAATAAGAGGGCCCAAGACGGAGCTTCAAGGCAATATGCCAGGGTTAATCCATAGACAATAGCATTCAGCCACACACTTCCACGAGTTCGAAGACCTTGGAGGTGTCAAAGATGAGAGTTTGCGGCGTTTGGATGTCTGCATTCCCTCAACGCTACAACCATCATTCGAGAAATGAAGACGTCAATGTCCCAACTCTTTCCTGTGTCATGAAGACGCCATGTCGTACGAGAATACTCCATGTTGTTTAAGAGCTGCGAAGTCATAGTTCGTCGGGGTTAAAGGCAAGCTCTAAATCCGGGAGGATTCAAACTTGCCACGCCGACCTTTTTCAAGTCGTAGCAAGCTGGCGGAGAGTTTTGAGTACAATTGGATACCAGTAAAGCCGTCAGACAAGTTCCACTGCGTCCTCGGTTGTCAATTTAGCGCTCATTGAGCACTTCTGCTGTAGGGTGGTGTACGGGTAGCCTAGCAATAACCGACTAGGAGCGATGTCTTTGGCGTCTTATTCGTGAGAGTTGCCGGTCCTCCGAGCTCACTAGATTCGCTCCCAGATGGGCTGAAATGTAGGACAATGGGACGGCGACGAAGAGGACTTCAGGGACCACCGATGGACAGACCGAAGAGCTCGGAGCTGCAGTCTCTCAACCTAACAGTATTCCAGCTCGACGAAGCCCAGTCTCAGCGTATTGGCTGATTACAGCATGTCCGTAATAGCTCGACTCCGTTAGCTTCGAATGGTTGGAGTCTTGCTCTGTCACTGCAATGGCTTTCAAAGCTCGGCGCTCCGGCATTGTTGCTACGCCGCCCAGCGATATTATCGGCGCGTGCTTCCCATTCATCTCGGAGGTGAATGTGGGCTGTGCGCTTACTCATCGTAGACTTTAACCATGAAATTAAGGCGGATCGAGCCTCCCTCCCACCTCCTGTTCACGGTTGCGCCCGCCACCTCTTCCGCTCTCCCCACCATATCATAGCCCGCTCCACGAGGGACCTGATTACCCTTTCATTCATCTCAATCGGCTTCTCGAAGATGACTGGCGATTCCCAAGGCGGCGAGAGCGGTACGGCGCTGCCGCACATAATGACCGATGAGGAACGTGACCGTACTCGAGATGCTGGTCCCATGGTAAGTCGTCGCTACATTGTGGTGGGGCGATTCCTTGCAATTCGCTAATCGTTCTCAATAGACTCCGACGCTGTGTCAAATGGCTCTTTCTTCGCGAACCCTATAGAAACGTCGTCCGCTTACACCCGTCTCATGCCAGGGCAAGGAGGGACCATTATGCTCGGAGAACCCGGACACGGGCACGAGTACTACTCGCCATATACCAGCGTCACTCCCTTTCCTAACTTGCCCACAAGCATGGGCCGCCCGATTCCAGCACCACCGCCGAGATCCGAGTACGACCGGCATCTTGCACTCAATTCTGAGGTCGCACAATCTTATTAATACTCGATACTAGGTCATTTCGCCAGCGACCTGCAGCCAGGTCTATATCATTGGGCTCGACAGCCGGTTCACGCTCCTCGGAATGATCTGGATCTGGCATCGAGTCACGTTCACCAGAGCCGGACGCTTGGCGGAGAAAACAGGCCGAGGGAGTGGAGGCCAGATGCGGGTGTCCCAATTATGTCTCGATCAAACGTCGTTGCCGACCAAGATCGAAATCGCTCCTCGCTCAACGCACAACCAGCAATCAGCCGTCGACGGCCCCACCAGTTTAATGCGCCAATTCCAGCACCTGATGGCTCCGACAGGCATATTGATCCCCAACCCAGCTCTTCACAAGCCAACCGCGGCTCACAGCAACCGGTGACTGCTCCGAAGCCATCCACGACGATGCTGTCTTCCGGAAAAGACGGTGTCATGAGCTCAGACAGTAGTCGTCAAAAGTCCACAAACCGTCAACCGCCACAATGGACTGTGGTCGTTAGCACTCCACAGTCCATCGATCCCATGCACTTTAAGCTTGGGAATGGCCAGCCGCGAAAGAAATCCGCGGACTTTGAAGCAAGTACTACATCGACATGGAGTGGAAAGGATATCTCGAGGCCCATCCTGTTGAGCTAGTGCAAGAACCATCCGATATCCAACTGTTGTTCTGGGAGGCTGTGGCGAGGGAAAACTTTCCGCCACCGAAGTTCATTGCGGACATGGTTGGGAAGACGCCTAAGGAGTTTGTGGATACAATTTTCGATGAGCCGCAGGTGGCGGCCTAAGAACCAGACGGACCGTGGGAATACGGTCACACCGTTCGTGAAGAATTGCCCATGGACGGGCCCTCGGGATCGCAGAACGACGCCGCTGTCCTGAAGGATACAACTACGGGACCACAGCTATTCGACATGAATGCCACAGAGCATCTGCTTCCACAAGCAAATCATGAGGTTCTCTATATCGATCCTAGAAAGTTGGTTTTGGTCCCGGATGAGATGCAAACGGGGACCGGTTCGACGCTGGGGTTGCAAGAGGAAGCGGGCTTGCTGAGTGAGAATAGCGGCATGAACGCTCCATATGGCAGAATGGCCGTAGCTCCTGCAATGTCGCTGCTTCCCCGAGCCCGGGGGCATGTCGATCAACTCAACTTCAAGAAGCGCAACCTGCCCCGCCGAGGGGGATACCCGGGTGCTACAACCACACACTGCCACCGGGTGAGGTTCGAGTGTATCAATTCACAGAACAGCAGGACCCTCCAGAGCATGTTTGTGGTAGGCCATATCATGCAGTTTTCAGTTGGGCAGCTCCATACAACGTGGACCTGGGGGAGCTGGGAGACCTCGGAGTCACCGGTATCGAATGCCTCGCGGTAAGTAGCTTCCGCGCTAGTAGTTGATTCACACTCGACTGGCCAATGATTAGTTTTTCCCGGCCCATTGCGCATGGCACGATTACGTTACTCGCTTTTACCTGAGCGGTTGAAGCTCCCAGGAAATGACGACGGCCGTGGTAAGTGAATGATCCACCAGTCATATGGATGGCAGCGCTGACGTATCCAGTATCGAGCGCGAGATCTGCTTCTTGACGACGAGAATACGCGTAGTCGCATTGACAAGAGGATGCCGGCGGCACGACAAGACGAGGAGGGAGGAGAGGGTGACCAACATCAACCTGCCAAAAGGAAGGTTAGACGCCGCGCTCCGAAAGACACGTGCACTCCTGTGACAGATTTCTCCTTTCGAAATTGGACACCACCGGTTTTGAGAGGATGGAATAAGAAGCTGACCACCTACTTCGTGGGGGATCTAGCGGCAGGAGTTCCGCGGGCGAACTTCCCCCAGGGTGCCGACAAGGGTCCGCTAACATGCGCAATCGAATACGTCCTGGACCATCCAGCATGGAATTGGTTAGAGCTCAGCGACATCGAGTGGTTCATCCCTCTGAAAGGCTTCCACCGCCATGCTCTTCGCTTGGTGCCCAATGGCCCAAACCCCGACGCACAGGCCCATACCCGTCATGAGAACGCGCTCAAAGGTTATCGCGAGCGTATTCTACGAGCTCGCTCCGGGGCTCAGTAACCAATCTGCGCAGCTCTGCCGGGAACTCGACAATGGTGCAAAGTTCGTGCCCCGGCAGTCCTCTGGCCATTGTTCTACGTGCTGTCGCTTTCCGCGTCATTCGCAAATGTTCTGATCCTTGCTTTGGATAATAGGAAAGTGTGGCCGACGGACTTGAGAGGGTTCAAGAGGTTGCTTGTTCTCAGAGACACGGCGTTGTCGTTTAGGGGTTTTCGTTCGACCGATTCCTTCAGGCTGAAAGAGATGGAGGGGTGCGGCTTGGCTGCTGAATTCAGATTCTCGTGCTTCAGGCGTAGCTCGCACGCCCGATGCATAGGGTATCGCTGGTTTCGGAACATATCCGCCCCTGTGGCGGGTGGTGGAATATTTGAGCTGCTGCTTCCGGGTGGCAGATGGCAGCGCTGTAGCAGTCGGACTGTCCACCGCGCTCGACGTGATCATTGCCCGGGAGTGCTATAAAATGCTCCTAACCGGTTGAGAAGCTGACGAGTTCCTTTCTGCAATGATCCTCCGAGAGCATCTATGGTAGATGCCAATAAAAGAACTTAGCTATCCAGGGTGTTGTCCAGAACGGAGAACAAAGCTGGGAGAAAGAAATATCGGAGACTGGTAATGGGGCGATATGGAAGGCCACATGACCCTGTATATGAGGTGCACGTCTCCTTCACCAACGTTCGAATTTCGCAACGCCATTGTAAGCGAGGGGGGTGTTTCAAAAGAATTTCGTGAGGATCATTTCACATCCCGCCCAGTAAACGACATCTGTAGGCTGGAGGTGATAGAAGGCTGGTGATGGTACAAGGAGCCTCTCCCAATAGGTATATTCTAGCTGGGCATGATTGCCGACTCAGGCCATCGGACGTATCCAGCGAGCACATAACGCGAGAGGCCCCCGAAACCCGGCATCGGCGATGCGCCGACAGTCCATATCCTGGCGAGTAGTTGTATAGGCACCCCGGCCTACGCAGACTCTTGTAGACAAAGAGCGTTGGATGCATGAGGACGGTGTGAACGGTGATTCTAAGCCGGAGCGTAGGCCTCGGGCGACCGGGGGACGATTGGGGGCCACCAGGGTGCCGTACGAGCGACGCTGTAGTATCCGCTCGACGATCTATCGACTTCAGAGATGGTTTTAGCAGAGCGCTCTTACAAAGCCGGGGCGTGTAGAAGGGCAAACGGTTTGGAGTGAGGTTGAGTTATGATCAGCGCTAGGTGCTCGGACGTCTTGGCAAGGCGTTCCGTTTGTGGGCGGACTGCATTGAGCAGGTTTGCAGAGAATTCGGAATCAGAGCAGGTATCATCATATGTTGGGTGTGCTATAGGCAGGAAGTACATAAATCAAGCTCATGGTTGCACACCATGTTTGGGTAGTCGGGAGCAAGTGAGCTTCAGAAAGCCACGTGATCCGATAATTACTAAGCAAAATGCAAGAAGACAGCCTCGCTTCTAGCTCACACTCTCGCACCATCCCCAGTCCATCACCCTTCATCTTATCAATCATGTACTATGTATCAACTCATCACTGGCCTTTTCTAGCCCAATTCGCGAGTGTCGGAATGCTTTTTGACCGTTCAATACGCGCGGATGCAACCCCATCGCGGCTCTCGTCCGAAGTTTTACTTGGCGCGCGTGCGTACTAATCGCGTTTGGCCTCGACAGCTGTCTTGAGTGACAGGTCTAGACGGCACTTTCCATGCAGCCGCCCTTCCTTGCCGCCATGGGTCCGAATCGAGATTGGTATGGCCACATTCCAGCGCGCGCCGAGCCGCCGCCTCAGCCGCTTGTCCCGGTATACGGCAGCGCTTCGCCCCGAACGGGTGGCGCGCCCATGATGTTTTGTCATGGGGAGAGGTATGTCGAGCCGGGAGCTCGCAGAATGCTCCAGGGTTAGGTTCCATTTGACGCGTTCGACGCGTCTGGTGAGGGCCATAGGGCGCGAAGCACTTGATCCTAAGGGCCGGCCTCTCTTTTTGAATCCTCGAGCCTGTCAACAACATAACGCATCAACTGTCTCTCTCTTTTGCCTCATTTCTTCCATCGCCATCGCCATCGCCATCGTGTTCGTTCCCACATCGCCCTTGGTAATAGCATGCACTTCGCTAGACCGAAGCCCGTCTCGGACATGGTAGGATGGATGGATTACCATCTACTTATTCATTGCCACCCACTGTCATTGCGTTCACTCACCGGTTGCAGGAAACATGTCCTTCGCCTACGCCTTTCCACCGCTCACGTCGATCATTTCTTTTCGTTCTTTCCTTACAGTTTCCTTCGAGCAAAGCACACAGGCCTTTTTCTCTTCACTTGCGATGCGCTAATGTGCACAGCCAAACAACACTTCACCCTCGAACACATCAAGCGCGGTTGGCTCCGCGTCAGGCGTACCGTCCTCTTCGGCCAATTCAACCTCCGGCTCATCAGCAGGGGCAAGCAATACCCCGAGCTCTTCTGCCAATTCTTCGGCCGTCCTGCCGCCAGGCACAGTCTCCAGTAGTACATCAAACAGCTCCTCTGCAGCAGGAACTGGTTCGTCCACTTCTATCACCAGTTCAGACGCCGGGGATCCATCCACAATGGTGTCTGCAGGTTAGTTCAACGCACTTCGTCCGGCAGCCTTTACGCGTCTAATATCCGCCCACTCAGGTACCACTTCTGCGCTAAGCACCAACGGTACTTCACCATCGATCGTCACGACTACCACAACCGTTCTGATCACAGAACCGCCAATCAATACGACAACGACTCTAACACTGATCGGGCCGGGACAGAACTCCACTTCTACTGCCTACATAACACAACCAGGGAATGTTTCCACTATAACATATACTCTTGTTGCGCCAGGCACAAATTCTACATTGACTTCCTATGTCACTGATATTCGGAACTATACGTCGACCGTCGCTACTACCGCGGCCGGGCCGACAGTAACACAAAATGCCTCTACCGTCTTCCAGCCTGGCACGAACTATACAAGTACGGCGTATGTTACGCAACCAGGATCAACCGTCACTCAGAATGGATCCACCATTTTCTTACCGGGCACGAACTACACCAGCACGTCGTACATCACCCAGGCAGGGCCTACGGTCACACAAAACGCTTCCACTGTTTATGTTTCTATGGCTCCAAATATCAGCACCACAACCTTGACCATTCGAGACCCCGGTCAAAATTCCACGATTTTCCAATCCGGCGCGAACTACACTAGCGTGTCCTACATTACCCTTCCGCCAAACATCAGTACTTCGATATATACCCAGCCGGCCCAAAATTCTACGATCACGTATACTGAGCCAGCGTCGATTCTGCTGCAAAATTACACCATCGTCCAGCCGGGGGCAAATTACACATCGACTGCTTATGTAACAAGGTGAGTATTTGAATGACTGGTTCTGCTCAAGTTTCCCTGTTGGTTCTTCCGACTTGGCTTCGGGACTTCTCAACGGTTTCCACATGTCCCTCTTTGTCTACTTTCATCAATTCTGATCGTGAGCTCCCATTCTCATTCGGCTGCCTTTCAGACTTCGCGCCGTGCTCTATTTCGATTTCTATACGCTCGTTTTGAAATTCGTTCGGCCTTTGCGGGCAGGATGGACGTCGAAGATCGGCGAGACCTTCGGACACGGTATTCCTCTTTGTGATTGGCGGTCTCCATAGTCTCTCTACGCCAACCTCGTCTCCTTATCCTATCGGCTAGTCTTGGGTTCTTTCTATGTTGCTCCATTGCTGTTTAACCTCCTTGATACATTGTTGTTGGGGCGTTTGCCTGATGTTCTTAAGCGGTGAGCCGCGCGTCTCTGGTCCTCTTCCCGTTCCAAGAGGATGCACGTTCGCAGCTTCGTATTTTCGTTTGGCTCTTTTTACGCAGGCCATTTCCCGTTGGTTCTATTGCTTAGCATGCTTCAAAAGATTTTCACCTATGTGGCACGCTTTGACTGCTGCAAATACGGCCCAAATATAGGGGACCATGCTAACCTGCGCGAAGCATCGTCTCGCTCCCACCAGTGACGACAACTGCCACCCAAAATGCTTCTGTTATTACGATTTTCCAGTCGGGAAGCAACCTCACTTCGACCGCCTATCTGAACACAACTGTACGTATCTTCCCCGCTCCTACCTCGCTTCATTCTAACACCTTCTCTAGGCCACGGTCACCATCTCCCTTCCGCCCGTCACCACAACCGCCACCACCCTGGGCGTTACAACTCAAAATGCATCTACTATAACACAGTTCCAACCAGGGAGCAATTACACCGTGCGTACCTCCATTCTTCGCGGACTCTGCTTTGGATGCTGATCAGCTCTGTAGACGACTGTGACTCTCTCCGGCCCAACCCAGAATGCGTCTGTGGTAACGCTGTTTGAGCCTGGACGGAACTACACCTCAACGGCATATCTGAATAACATTGTGAGCATTGCGTCGTCCTCTCGCCTTGCATTTAGGTGCTGACTCCGGACCCAGACAACGATCACTAGCGTTCAATATGTGACGAGGTGAGCACCACTTCTTAGGTGATCTTCTGCGCCCGGCGTACCCCAAGACTGCCACTCTTCGGCGAGCTTTTGCTCACACAATTCCCCCCCTCCGAAAGTCTCGCACTAAGCACGCGCAATGCAGTACCCTCTCGCTTCCGCCCTCAACGATTACGGCGCCCGGCAGCAATTACACCTCTATTTCCTACCTCTCTAATCTTGTGAGCTTGCCCCACCATGTATGCTGGTGGCTTGATACTGATCCCATCATCAGACGACGGTCACTCTTCCTCCACAACGAGAGACTACGACTCTTTTCTCCTACCTACCGCCAAATGCATCTACAATAACTGTGTTTCAGTCGGGTAGCAATTACACCTCAACGGCTTATCAGGTCAACATAGTGCGTATTTGCGCACGGTATCCACGCAGCTGCTAACATCTCCAGACTACGGTCACGCTTCCGGCCCAGCGCGAGACCACTACACTCGTCTCGTATATGACTCAGAATGCCTCCACTATCACCATTGTCGAACCAGGCGCCAACTTCACCTCCACAGCATACCTAAACAATCTGGTGAGTAGCCCACCACTCTGAATTCTGCGCTTGGCTCTGACTATTGTAGACCACAATCACTCTTCCGGCTCAGCCGGAAACTGTCACGACTACGGCTTTCCAACCCTCGACTGTCGTAACCACCCAGAACGCGTCTATAGTGACTCTTAGCAGCACCCTCACCATAACTGAGCAGCTCAGTGTCAATGCAACGACGATATATGTTACCCCTCCGGTCAATTATTCGACTACGACTTATACCCAGTACGAGTCTGGGCCAGTCGTTACAAGCTTTCAGACTATTCTGGGGGCTAACCAGACGACTACAATTTTTGCTACCAGGTGAGATTCATTCCTGAGCTATCTCCCGTTCTCTTCATTCTCCTGTCCCCTCGCGAGACAATCCTCTCTCCGGCTGCTGGCCCTGCTCGATAAGCACCCCAAACATCCTTGCGTGACTAGTGCTACAAAGTTGGGAGTAGGGAAGTCGCGGAACCTTCTCCGGCTCCCAATTGAATATGTATGAAAGCTACGCCTGCGTTCCATCTAAACGTATTTGGCCTGCGGATAAGCACGGAACCACGGCCCCTCAGTGCAATGCCGATCAGCCGAAGCAAGAGCCCGAGGCTCTCCTCCTCGCCCATTTGCTATATGCTTACCATCTGTTTAGTACAACGACGGAGGTGTCGGTAGCGACACGCAACGTTACCGAGCAACTCAGCGCGAGTCTGATCACAAGGCAGGTCCCTCCTCGTGGACTCAGACATCTTACTTACGCTTGTAGTACCATCTATGAGACGGCACTTTCTACCGTGACATCCTTCGCCAATGTTACTCGGCTGCAGAGCGGAGAAGTTCTCACGACGTAGGCCTCTCATTCCTCCATCTCTGCGGATTGCTGATTCATTTTAGGACCGTCTACGAGACTATTCCATCCATTTCAATTACGACAGCCTACTCGAATGTAACTCAGCTACTGAGCCCGGAGCCCATCACACGGTCAGTTCTAGGGCAACCCCGAGAAGCCTCACCGACTTACTAATGTGATTTAGGACCATATCCGAGTTTTCTACGGTCACATCCTACCTCAACGTGACTCAGCAGCTGAGCGCTGAGCCAGTTACGACGTGCGTCTGGCTACCATACAATTCTCCACGATGCTAATGATGCAGAACCGTCTTCGAGCCCACGACTTCCCTTTCAACGGTTGTTTCCTACCTGAATGTGACCCAGCCGCTGACGAGGTTCGTATTTCTTCTGCCCTTGTCTCATGCCTTGCTGATCTTTATAGCACTGAGTATGTGACTATCACAGTTCTCCAGACCAGGTATGTTCTTTTGTTTCTCTTAATTTCAGCCTTTCTTTTCATCAAAATCGGCTTTACCCCACTCAGGCCCGTCCGTAGCCCAACTGCAGATGCTAGTTTTTCGTTCCTAGATAATCTGTTTCTACGGGCACAATCTTTTCGCACCACCATATCTATCCGCTGGAAGCTTCAGAGGTGGCTTCCGCCCCCACCCCCCTACGTGGATCCTCGTTCACCTGCCTATTTGTCTCTATCTCAACGCCCTTGTAAATATTTTAAGCTCCGACGCTACAAGGCTACCTTCGCTTTCTGAAGTTTAAGCCGTGTCCCCGCATTTCGCGATCTCGAAGTCTTCACTATCTCTTCAGCATGGTCTCTCTATTTCTTCGACCCACCCGCCCTCCGTATGCTCTCGCGCTGATCACAGCAGTACCATACCTGGATCAACCCAATTCGAGACTCTTCCGGGCAACATTTCGACTATTTACATAACCGAGCCGCCTGAAGTATCCACAGTAACTATCTTGCCTAATGCATCGACGATCTATATCACTCAAACTCCAGAAGTGCTGACCAGTACATATACTTTCGTGGAGTCTGGATCTGTCATCACAACTACGGCCGTCATTACCCAAGAAGGACCAGTGGTGACTCGGAACGAATCCATCGTTAATACACTGTGAGTTCCACTTCCAGGCCGGGATGCCCCACTAATCATACCTTTAAAGGACCGTCACGGCAACTACTACCGAAGTTTCCACTAGGTACGCGTCCCTCTCTAGTTCAACTTTGCGTCCACTCCTTTTTACCTTATGCCTTTCTCCAAGCAATTGGGGCCCCTACTTTTGCCAAAATGCCCTGGTTCATTTTACTTTATTCATCCAGAGCCGATACCTGGCCATTGTAATTTGGCGCTGTCTTGCCACGAACACGGCTTGCGCGTCTATTCTGCGCAGATCTCGCATATCTCCTCACCTTGTCTTCATTGTTCGTTCGTGATGTACCCCTTTGCATTCTTTGTCATTGTGTCGGTCACGAGTCTGACTGTCTCTCCTATTCCTGCCGTGTCGTATGCATTCTTTCCAGCCTGGCTAACCTCGTTCTTCAAGCACAACAACATCGCTATCGATCTCTACAATCACATCTCAGCTCAGTGCACAGAATAACACTATGTAAGCCTTCAATCGTCCGCAGATATTCGCAGAATTAACGAGAGATAGCACTGTCTACGAGACGCAAACAGAATACAGCACGAGGTTAGTGTCATTTCCCGAGCTCTTCCTGGCTCCCTGGTCTGATCTTCGCCTCTTCGCTTGATCTTACTCGCGGTCTCTTTGGGCAAGGGTCAGGCTTCCCATCCTGGGAGTCTGGCGTTAGTCTTCATTCACGAAAACCCCATTCTTTTCGTCACTATTTCGCTCTTCATGCGCCTCGCTACAAACTTAGACATCGCGGATCCCCACGACCTCCGCGGCCTTCTGCTGTCTACCTTTCATCAGCCCTTGGTTCCACTTTCTTCATTTCACCGCCTTTCCGCTTGACACCCTTCTCCGTACTTTTCGTCGTCTTTGTTCAGTCGTTCTAGAGGTCAGCCGTTCCGCTGGGACAGACATGGACTTTTTTTCATAAGATATTTTGCGACAGTCCTCGATTGAAGCTGCCTCTCTCCTCTTTTGCCGTTAGCTCAGTTTACTAATTTTGTCGGATACAGAACAAATCTGAGCACCACTACACAGTTGGACACTGTTCTAAGCACCCAGACCCAACAAGTTCCAACGACGATTGTTAGCTACGAGACCGTGTATAGCAACATCACCCTGCCGCCTTCGACCGTTACCACCTCCGAGGTTATTCTTAGCACGATCATGCCAAACGCGTCGACCATTACTCTGGATCCTTCCACAGAGACTAGTGTTATTACTATTTCGATCACTAACCAGCAGATCATTCGCAGCACGACGACCGAAATCAGCAGTTTCACCACTACATCGATCTCTTTTGTTGATGCGGGGGCCACAGTCACCTCGGTCAGCACGGCTTACGTTCCTACTACCGTTTTCTCCACGGGTGAGTTCCATTCTGGGCTGTTCAGTCCTGTTCCTCTATATCGCCTGGGCGTCCCAATTCGGGCTAGTGGTGTGAGGAAAGATTATTCCCTTGCGGACTTCTCACTCCCATCTGCAAGAGCTGTTTTGGAACGAGAGCGAAAGATACACGAGCATTGACCTCTCAAGCTCGCTGAATGCTGCAACGCCACCAATGCTGACTACACTCCGCAGCCACCGAAACCTCGATACAAAATCCTGTAACCAACTTCGTTAGCGTAACCGAGACGCAAACTACAACACAACGGATGACAGGTGAGTTTGTTCTTACTCATTCGGCACTGGAAGGCTGCGCCTGAGTGCCTTCGGTGGGCGATAAGCGAAGCGTTTTCCGTGCTTGAGGACGAAGAGAGGGTGGCTCGCAAGTCTCAATCAACCACAAACCCCTTTCCCTTTCCACGCGTCTTTACGAGGCTAATTGGTCTTCATAGAAACCTCGACGCCAGACCCAGTAACAATTACTTTGAGATCCACGAGTGAGTTCTCTATTCCGCTCATGATGCTTTCTTCTCTCTGCAAGCCCCTCGACCCCATCAGTTCGTTGCCAGGACGCCGGGAGGAGAGCTTGGTGGCAGAGCGGTCCCGACCACCCCCAGCGCGCCTTCTCGCTCTCCGGCGAAGCCCAATGCTCTCACATTGTGCAAAAGTGGCCTAGGGCGTCGCGTGTCAAACCAATGCGCAAAGCTGGCACTCGCTGCTTCCCATCCTTGTCGGCCTACCGGAGAACCTGCTAACTTATGCTGCAGCATCCGTCACTGCAACTCAAATTTCGACATCTGTGAGCATCCAGACGTCAGTCTCGACGTCCCGGATATCGACGACTCTGGTCTCTACTACAACATTGCCTCGCGAGACAATTGTTTCCACCACCTCAACAACTGTCGTCAGCACCCTCCCTCGTGAAACCCTTACTCTCCCTCGTGAGACCACCACGCTTCCACGAGAAACACTTACGCTTCCTCCACAGACGACTACCAGCGTTTCCACGACGCTATCCACCACTACTGAGGTACGCAGAGCCACCATTCTTCCTGTCAAAATTGGAGCCGGATTCTGGTTTCCTCTTGCCTCCGCGCTTTTTCGCCCGTGAGGCATTTCGAAACCGAGCCCGCCACTCCAATCGGCAAGGGCAGAAGTTGCCTATCCCTTTTTGCGACCTTCGCTGACCCCTGCAGACTGCCGCCGCCATCACCTTCACCTCCCTATCTACGCGCACCACCACCACCACAAATGTTCAGTACTTCACCGAGTCAACAACCGTTACTCGCACAACTCCATCGCTCGTCTCTGTCACAGACACACGAACGGTCTACAGCACCAGTGGGTAATCCCCAGTGCAGAAGCTTAATGCTTTGCGCTCAAGACTGCGAGCGATGAGATACCATCCGAGCAGGCCCTTTGCGGATTTGCATGTTTCTCAGCTCAGACATAGAGCTCCCAGTCCCTCCCCATTGATGAATTATGCTAATTCCACATCCCCAATTCTAGTCTCCACCCTCCAATACGTAACCATAACGCGCGTGAGCACGCTCACAATTTCCGCAACGGCCACCTCCGTTGTCGCCGTCGCCCAGACCACTATAACTGAGCTGTCGACCCAGACCACTACCCTGACTGGATTCTATGGCACTACAACGCGGATTATTACAAGCGTTTCCCTGGAAACGGTGCCGACCACGATTACTAGGCTGAGCACGAGAACGGTGGCTATTAGCACGTGGACTACGACGGTTACTGCGCCTGCGCAGAAGAGGGCGATAAACGGGTGGTGGTGAGGGATGGCGGATTGAGGGGAGTCGAGAGATGCGATGATGATAAGGAGGAGGAGGAGCAGCGGGGGAGGTGGAGTGGCTGGAGGTAATATGGGGCTGGGTTGATGGCGAGTGTGTACGAGAATGGGGAAAGAGAGGTTTGTGGGATCTTCGTTTTGGCTTTCCATCTTTGATGTTTTGCGTGGCTGTGTTCTTCTTTCTTCTTTCGCTCCTGCTCTGCTTGCGCGCGTGTATTTGGGTAGTATTGGCAGGATTAAGAAACACTTCCAGGCTATGCACGCTTGCTCTTCTATCGAATCTCGCGCTGTATGCCTTTTCTCCTGCGGCTCCTTTCTGTCTGGCGAACGCTCGGCATGATGAAGTGCCAGCCCAGCTCCTAATCTCCACGACAGCATCATGTCTCATGGATCAATGAGTGACTCTATTCATATTTAACATCGCAGGGTCTTAGTGGCTGTACTAGCTACCAAGCTGCTCTATTGGTATATGGAGTGAACAAGCTGCATAGCATTCCAGACCGGCGCATGCAACACTCTGGTTCCGGGGCAGCTTGACGCCGTTCCTGCTCAGGCACGGTGCGCAACGGAGCTGAACTGCGTTTGCTACCTCCCAGCACAAGACAAGGAACCATGTTTAGTGACGCGATGGTGTCCAGTGGGTGCAAGACAGTGAGGTATGAGAATCCAATGCTGGTTCCATCGTATTGAGTCTGGCAATGGACGGGGATGCACTTGTACTGGCCATCCTTCCCCGATCGGACCTCCTTGACGCGCGTGGTGAACATCGGGGTCAGAGATTTGCGGCATGTAAGTAGAAAGCTAGAGTGGAAAGGAGAGAGGTTACCGCGAGGGGTATGGCTCTTGAGATATCCTAGTGGCCAGGTGCGATCTACTGCCTTCAACCTAGTGCAGTCCAGAAATCGAATTAGCTCGTATACGTCCATCGTCTTGTTCTAACACGCCCGAAGACTGGATAAGTGATCAATGATCAGGGATAGAGCTGACTACTCTTCCACTGTGTAAGGGGTGGAGATAGAAATGCGTCACCAGAGGTGGCCACCACTCGCAGGGCTCGGATGTAGAACACTGGCCATTGATGGATCCTGGCACGTTGTGTTCGTGACGACATATGTGGATTGTACTTCGCGGCTTGTAGGAGTTACTTCCTCTCATCTACTTGAAGAGTGGACGATCGCCTTATAGGCTGTCGATACCGGGGAGCCCTGGGAGTTAGTCATCCGCAGAAGGGGAACGGTATTCTACGTTATCGGACCCGATGCGATCAGATGTGCTTCGAATTCATGTGAATACCTTCAACACGATGGCAGCTATCGGCAAGCAGTTGCTCTATGTCGCCAACGTCGGACGGCCAGACACGTATGCCAACATGCGAACTGGATGCAGAATCTGGTTCCATACACATTCGTACTTGAGAGCACTCATAGTTTAATCGCCGCCTTCATCTTCTCTCCCGACATGTTAATACCCAGAGTCCCTCCACCGATGAGCCGAACGTTACCCCCCTGCCCTCCCCCCAAACCCTCCCCAAAACCCCGTTTGAGGCTCCGGGATTCTGCTGTAGACAGCACTCCAGATGCAAAGGGGATACCATCTTGAGAATCCACAATCGCATTATGCCATATATTCTTCAGGCCTCCTGGTTCATCGTCCAAGCGAAAACTTCATTGGCGGTACGATAGGGCATTGCGAAATGTAGCGTTGTGGAGAATCTAAGCCGTAGACGGAGCTAGGGGATGTATATTCCATCGATGTCAGTATTTCAGCGTAAATAAGACGACGTCTTACTCTACATGGAGCCGCAATCCCCAAACACTCCATATCAAGGGTGTGTGGTCTAATGGGAAGGGCGCTCCTACGGGCGGGTTAGGTGACCTGCTGAAGGACACAGGAGAGATGCGGGCTCGAGTCTCGCCGCTCCCAGTACTTTTTTGACGTTGCTTCAGTCTACTCTCGTGGCTTTTTTGCAAAGTTGCGGTGATATAGAGCTCGGAGTTGCTGGGGTTGTAAGTTCACTATGATATTGGCTGCCCTCTCGCGTGGGTCCCACGTTTCGAGCTGCGTTGCCGTTTCCTTATCCGATTACTGTTGGGTCTGGTAGATGTAGCGCGTGGTGTTGACCGTGATCGTCCTTCGGAATTACCGGTTGACGATGCTGCCATCTTACGCTCGCGCTCAATTGGTGTATGCTGCCTCCGCGCAGCTATTCGCTCACTTCTCCGGGGTGCCCCAGTCGTAACCGGCAGGTGATCCTCGACAGCAGGACGTCCCTGTTCGGTGTAGTTGAGTGCCCCGGTTGACGGCGATTGTGAAGGGGCATTCTCGGTAGGAGCTCTCAGCTGTCTTTGGTGTCCTTTTTGCTCATCAGATTCGACCATCCTTGACCCCGCTTGACTAAGAGAAGATCACCTACTGGTACGGATAGGCCGTTGTGTGGAGGCTTTCTCGCCCCCGCGTCTTAAATTAACGTCACCGAATTCCGGTTTGCGTGACGTGCTCGGTTTTGTCAGTTTCGACGAGCGCACACTCCAAAGGACTCGGCCTGCCGTCTCTTCCGCTGACCGTGGGTTCTCCTTAACGGCAGGCTGTCGGGCGGTGCCTTTCGTCCTCTTCGCCTTACCCCTCACTCTAGCGATCACTCCGTTGGAGGCATCGACCTCTTCGAGAACAGAGGATAAATTGTTGTGGTATGTACCATTGTTGTAGACGCTAGGCGTTGCACCTGGTTTCAAAAACCCGGGGCTGGGAAGGCGGGGGTTTTGTTCGTCCTTGTTGGCTGCATCGTGTTGCGGTCTAGACGTTGATCGTAGTTTCTCAAACAGGTCCTCGTGCGTCCAGGTCATTCCGGGCAGTTCACCCCATGTAGGGTTCCAAATCTCGTCTTCAATCCAGATCTTCTTGACGCTTTCGTAGGCCATAGCATCGAGGTCAATCATTCCAGTAGCCGGTTTGAATTGCAGCTCGTCTTTTATCCATTCGCGCTCCTTGGATACTTGAAAGAGAAACTGGTGGTATGGACGAGATGCCAAAGTATCGCGTTCAGATATAGCTGCTGGCGTCTCAGTAACATCTAGTGCAGAAGCACGTTCTGATTCCTCCGTGACAGTATTTGTTTCTTCTCGCCCCCATCCAACGAAGATATTACGGATGGGCTTTGCCTCGGGTTCCGGTGCCGGCTCCGGCGGGAGCTGTGGTTCAGTCTCCTTCTCATGACCCCAGCGGAGGGTATCTGGTTCCCAGGCCGGGGCCCCTTCGTTATACCAGATCCAGATGCCCTGCTCTACCCAACGGGCCCGGACGTTGTTCCTGGCGTTGTCGATGAGGTCGACCGTTCTATCGACAGGCAGCGTCTGCCTGCGCCCGTAGCGCGCCTCATCCAACTGGTATATGATCCGCTCTCTCTCTCTGGTCATCTGGCTTTCGAACTGCTCGTACGGTACCGATCGAAGCAGGGCCGCGTTACGCCGGCCTCGTAGCGCCGACTCATCAACGGACGCTTCGGCAGGGCTGGGAGGCTGCGTGGTCTCGCCCGACGAGGGGTATGCCGGTGGAGGATCGCTATACCGGTGGGCTCTCTGCAGGCTAAGCTGCTCTGGATCGTCTTCCAGCCGTTGAAGGGCGTCAATAACATCAGCGACGCCTTGGCGTTGGCGGGTGTTAAAGAACAATGACATGGCGATGATGGCAAGAGGCGTATAAGGAGGTAGATGGGAGCAGCTAAAGATTGATATGTGGGGACGACGGTGAAGAAAAGGAAGAAGAGGAAGGAAAGGGAAGGGCGATGAGCAACCGCGTCCGGGTGCTGTCAGCAGCAGGCTAGCTCGATTGGGCGGCGGATCCTTGGCGTCCGCCTAAATTGCCCCACCACGTCGCACGTATTACAACCATGTTGCACGTATTCCGTCCTTCTGACCACACGGGGAAGGGTGTTCAACTCAGCCTGATCAGATATTGAAGAGCACTCCTGGAGTAGACAAGACCGCAGCAGCACCCCGGAACGACCAAAAGCACAGAATAGCGACACGCGTTACTCAGAAGCGTCAAGGCCAAGGGCTCGAGGGTTCTGTGACCACAGAGAAGCGTAGAAATCACAGCAAGTTCCGAGAGGACATCACTGACGCTGTAAGAGAGGATCTGTTTCGTTTTGCCTGAGTCTCGTCTCCTAACCTGGATTCTTGATGCCTGCTGTATCGCTAAAAGTAGTATTTCTCTTGTTTCATTTTAACGGCGCATGGCCTCCAACATCTTCATCTCTACGCTCAATTTCATGAGCTCCGTTCTGATGACCGTCGCGAATAGGCTGATGATCGCCTATGAGGACATCAGCTCGCTGCTCAGACAGAGAATGGCGACACATGATGGAAACGCCGTGCCCACACGGGTCTGGGCGGCGTCTCTAAGAGGAGCGCGACGCCTTGATAGCCAGCTAAATCCTTTCTGTTACACAAGCGTACGGCAAATCTGCAGACACCACCTTAAGAGAGTAGTATACCCGCATTTATTAAATAATCATCGTTGTCTACAAACACCTAGGAAGTACAGCAGATCCAGACTTTCCCCACCATGCAGCTATATCAGTATTTCAGTGCTGGAGGCTACGGTGCCAACTTTTTATTCGCTTGTTTTAGTTTTCCAGGTCTTGTGGATGGCGGTTTGCTGGGCTTGCTTCTCACTTGAACAAGTGCGAGAAGACTTCGGATTCGGCATGGGTTTGAATACCCGCATCGACACGGCATTAGTTCACGTGAAAACAAGAAGGCTTATCGACTCTCCTCTGGTCCAAACCCGCACTACCACCATTCACCCGTACGCCTCTTTGCAAATGCGAACATATAATGTCATTTCTCCCCATTAATATTTTGATCTCACGCTAACACCTATACAGCACGCCAGCGACCTCCTCATTCCGCTGATGCCCCTCGTGGTCCTCTAGCGCTGAACACGGCCGAAACTCGGCCAAATCCCCGTCCGAAATATCAGAGTGCCTCGAAGCTCCGGCAAGGAGATGTTACAAGAGAGCTTTCAAGCGCTCCTGAAGAACAGGGGTACTAGACGGGCTATCGTCTAGCATACGGCTCATCTGCGGGTCGTATAGTGGCTCAGACGTGACAGTCGCCCGGATTCGCTGTCCGAAATACTCGATGTCGACCGCGTTGCCCTCTCTCACGCTGCTGGGTAGCCATGCGTAGGCAATGGGCTTACGAACGGTGTAGCCGAACGCGGCGGTGGCGACATAGCCGACCGGCTGGCCTTGGTAGAAGACGGGCTCCTTACCCAGGACAACGGAGCGACCATCATCCACGGTGAGGCAGCGCAGCCGTCGAGTACGCGTCTGGGAACACCTGCTAAGCGCTGCCTTGCCAACAAAGTCGTCCTTCTTGTTCTCGATGGCGAACTCGATTCCGGCTTCGTATGGATTGTGCTCGGTCGTCATGTCGGCTCCGTACGTCCGATAGCCCTTCTCTATCCGTAGAGCGTTGAACGCAGCGCGGCCGGCGGCGATGAGTCCATGGGGTTGGCCTGCCTGCCAGAGCGCGTCCCATAGCCGCTGACCGTACTCAGGGCTGGCTTGCACCTCCCAGCCTAGCTCGCCAACATAGGAGCGGCGGTGCATTACGACTGGGATGCCGGCCACACTCGTTCTCTTGACGCTGGAATAAGGAAACGCTTTGTTGCTGAAGTCTTCCGGACTAACAGCACCGATGACATCGCGGGCGCGTGGACCCCACAGCCCGATGCAGCATGTGCTGCCAGTAATGTCCCGCACTTGCACGCGTTGGATCTCTTTCCGAGCTTCTCGGATGAGATAGGCCAGTTCCGCCGCAGAGTTCGCACCTATCTGGAAGAGATCGTCGTCTAGTCTCGCGACGAAAATGTCGCCGCGGATGCCAGCATTGTCGTTGAGGAGTAGTGTGTAGGTGATAGTGCCTGGTTTCGCCGTCATATCTCCGGTTGTTAGCCGCTGCAGCAAGTGAACTGCCCCAGGACCAGCCAATTCAAACCGATGGAACGAGGTCATATCGTACATGGCAACAGCGGTCCGCGTCTTCCAGGCCTCTACTGCGGCGATGGGCGAGTGGTACCGGGCCGACCAAGCATCTCGCTCCACCGACCGCCACTCTGCGGGGAGACACGGAATCAGGTGCTCATTCGCTTCATACCAATACGGTCGCTCCCAACCACCGAGCTCGAGGAAGTAGGCGCCCAGCTCCCGCTGCCGAGCGTTGAACGGGCTGATACGGAGATTGCGAGGAGATTCTTTTGGCGCTAGTGGATGGATGATATCGTAGACCTCTACGAAATTCTGCTGTGAAGTTTCGCTAACGTAGGATGGGCTCAGCTGAACCTCCTCGAACCGGGAGAGATCGCACTCAGTGACATCGATGCTGGTCCAGCCTTGAGTGAGGATTTCAGCCATTGCTCGCGCGACGCCCGCGGAGTGCGTAACCCATACCGCTTCCGCAACATAGAAGCCGTCCAGGTTGGGCGCTTGCCCCATGAGTGGTCCGCCATCCGGTGTGAACGAGAAGATGCCGTTGAAGCCGTCAGCAATTTCGGTCTCGCGCAGAGCGGGCAATAGCTTCTGAGACTCCCTCCATGCTGTGCCGAAATCCTCCGGGGTAAACTCCAGGCGTGAGGGCATATTCTTCTCGTCGACTTGCTTTGGGGTGACACCCAAGGTTGAGGCAACGACGGGCATTGGGCGATGGCCATAATACCCGATGCCATATTGGTCACCGTGCTCGCGGTAGTAGAGATCCTGGTCCTGATGCCGCAAGATGGGGAGGCATGCGTTCATTCCATTCATCCGGGTGTTGACATCCCGACCATCATGAGCCCGAACTGCGGTCGTCTTCGCGTACTGATGCGCTAGCGGGAGCAAGGGAATCGACAGGCCGACCATTGCCCCTAGCTCAACACCCCAAAAGCCAGCGCAAGAGATGACAATGTCTGCTGGAATGGTGCCTGCTGTTGTTACCACTCCGGTGACGTGGCCATCGTTCCGGGCGATATCGGTGACAGCTGTCGAGCCCATGTAGCAAACACCGGCCTCGCGTGTGCGTTCGATGAGCAGCTGCGTTGCGCGGGCAGCCAGTGCAAGACCGTCGCTGGGAATGTGTAGGCCTCCAAGTACAACGTCTTTATCCAGGAGAGGGTATAGCTCGGCACACTTTTCGGGGCTCAGAAGGTGGGCCTCGATCCCCCAGGAAGAGGCGTATCCGTGCTTCCTCTTCAACTCCTGCAAGCGCTCAGGTGTCGTGGCGACCTCGAGGCCGCCCACCTGGTTGAAGCAGTTCTGGCCGTCCTTCTCCAGAGATAGCAGCTTTTCGACTGTATATCGTGCGAGCAAGGTCATGGTCTTGGATCCATTGGTCTGGAAGACAAGCCCAGGAGCATGGGACGTTGAGCCACCCGGCATGTGCAATGGACCTTGCTCCACGATGGTGATGTTCTTCCATCCGCGCGAGACAAGCTCGTCGGCCAAGTTGGTACCGACGATGCCTGCGCCGATGATGACAACGCGCGAAGAGGGCGCCATAGGGAAGAGACGGGTGATTCGCCGCAAGCAGCAGTACGAGGGGTCGATGATTGGAGGCCAATTAGCTAGGGAGGCAGGTTGACCTCTTATTAGAACGGGCCCTGGGGAAGCGATGATTCGAATGCCTAATGGAGGTATAGCAGCTCTTCAGTAAGATTCCAATCTCACTTCACTGAAGGCGACTGATGCCCCGCACACCTCCAGGACTCCTGCGTCGACGGCTGAGGCGCCCGTACCGGATATGGTTCTAATTTTTTCCATATCGGGCTTAGGCTCGGCTCATCGCGGCATAGCCGAACGGACCCCTCCTATTAAACCGACATTCCCTACCGCATCCCGACTGCAGTCTTCCTCCCCTCACCTCCCGCGAGGAGACTTGCCCTTTGCTCACGACGCGCACGCCCCAAGCAACAACCCTTCCATGCGACAATGATTCCAAGCGACAACCTGTAGCGACAATTCTATGAGCAACGACTCTCCAAGCAACAAACTTTCCAAGCGACAACTCTCCAAGCGACACTCCAAGCGACAAACTTTGTCCAGGCAGCAACGTATTCGATTTTGCTGGTAAATCGATCGCCTCGAGCGACGATTGCAAAGCCGTCATGGCACCAGTGCGCACCGAAACGATGCGAGGAGCCCATGTTGCACCAGAATCTCAGTGCAGCTCCGCTCAGATACCGTAGTATCGCACAATGCATGGGCACGCACTTCGAATCCATCGTCTAGTCATCGGTCTTGCAGTCTGGAGAGGTAGAGTCTGCGCGACGAACCCACGATGCCGCGGACCTCAGCTCCACCCCGAATGAGCGGGTCGACGTGGCCGCCGTCGCTGCATGACGCCTCCGTGACAAGAGTCGATTTTTTCATGTAAGTGGCCCCGATGTTCCGTTCTGGAACTGGACGGCCATCGTCCTAGGCTGATAACCTTGTGGTTGCACTCCATGCCTAGGCTTGGGTATCTGTTCCCGTCATTAAGCGCCGGCCACATGGGCAGCTCACGAGGTGCTGCCGGGCTGGCGAGCTGTTGATAAGAACGCTTCTGAGGCCGTCACGATAGGCGTTGTTCGTATCTCGGCAGATCATGCGGAAGCATTGGGCCGCGAGGAAGAGATAGGAGCGTCAGGCCCCATGCCGTGGTCTGTGGGTTCGGTACTGCATGATTTCGGGCTGCTCATACTCGGTCAATCCGGAAATCTGGACTGATCCATACGCGCCACTGGTCGGGGCTCCAATCGACCCCGCACATGGCCCATACTGAGCCTCAACGAGGTTGCGCGGCGCTAACATGGCGGATGCTCGGATGCTTCGCTAGCGCAGAGCCACCCCTGGAGATATGGATGAGATTTCTATTTTAGGCATGACGCCTCAGTCAAGGTCAACCATATCGGGTCAAAGAGAGCTGCCTATGCACCCTCCGCTTTATCGACGGCGACATCATGCTCAGGCAATTCACCCACTGGTTCTTGCACCCGGCCTATGCAACACGTCGCGTCAGGCCATGGAATGCCTTTCCCCATGGGGCTTTCAACCCCAAGCAAACCGTAGGCAATCAGCGTGACGTCGAGCGGCTATCGCAAACGCTGATAGCCACCTGATAACCCGATAAGGAGCCGATAAGTTTATCGCCCTATATCCTTTATCGGAGGGCAGCCCGCTGCTTCCGGCTATATAAACCCTACGCCCAGCGCCACTCAGCTCTTTATTCTTGACCCGCACTACTCTTTCTTCTACACCCCAACCACACAACCAGCACTCCTCCCTCACCATGGTCTCTTTCCTTGGCTACCTCGGGATCGGAGGCTCCGCTCCCGCAAAGGCGGAGAACTCCACTGTGCGCGCTTTGCCTGGCTCATGGTACACCTCGCAGGAGATGTACGAGCTCGAGCGACGTGCCATCTTCTCACGCAAGTGGCTCCTAATCACACACTCGCTCCGTCTCAAGAACCCCGGCGAGTGGCTGCGCTATGAGATGGCCGGATTCGACTTCATCCTCTCTTGCGACCGCGGCGGCAACATCCACGCCTTCCACAACGTCTGTAGGCACCGTGCCTACCCGGTCGTCGAAGAACAGAAGGGCACCGCGAAGATCTTCGCCTGCCGATATCATGGCTGGTCCTACGGACTCAATGGCAAGCTCGCCAAGGCCCCCGGTTATCAAGACATGCCCGACTTCGACAAGAACCAGAATGGCCTCTTCCCCATCCATGTCCGCATCGACACCAACGGCTTCGTCTGGGTGAACCTCGACGCCAAGGAGGAGCCCGAGGTCGACTGGGAGGAGGACTTCGACGGCATCGACCGCCAGGCGCGCTTCAAGGAGTTCAACTTCGACGACTACGCGTTCGACCACACCTGGGAGATGGACGGCAAGTACAACTGGAAGATCCTCGCCGACAACTACAACGAGTGCTACCACTGCAAGACCACTCACCCCGACATCCCATCCATTGCCAACCTCGAGACGTACGATGTGTTTCCTAGGAAATACGCCATCCCGCACGATGCTTCTACGACTGAGGAGCAGCGAACCGAGGGCTTGACGATCGCTAGCACGTACTACTTGCCGAACGCGTCCATGACTGTCACGTAAGTTTCCTCCTCTACCTTTCCTGCTTTCTTCAACCAACTAACACACTTACAGCCCCCACTTCTTCTTTATGCAGAAGTTCATGCCTAGCGGCCCCTCCCAGTCCAAGATGTACTACGAAGTCTACCGCAACAAGTCATCCTCGGAGGAAGACTTCCAGCGAATCTCTCAGATGTACAAGCGCATCATGTCCGAGGACAAGGTGCTCTGCGAGGGCGCCCAGAAGAACATCAACTCGGGTATCTTCACCAACGGCGAGATGCACCCCAAGATGGAGAAAGGTCCCCTCTACTTCCAGAAGATGGTTCGCGAGACGGTGGTCGCGCACCACGAGCGCGAGAAGAAGGAGGGACGCGAGATCTGGCCCGCCCGCCCGGAGATGAAGGGCAATGGGACTGAGGTCAGCAAGGAGGACTTGGAGTTCTGCAGTGGGCTCGCATGTGGCGAGAAGCGGGACAGCCTTGTCTGGTAAGCCCCGTGGTGGTTCGCGCCCATTTAGGCGAGAGCATGATTCCGAAATTGCGAAACTGCATGCATAGCGTGGCGGTAGGAGGCGTTTTAAGAGTGGGATTACTCTTCATCATTTCCTCCCAGTCCTTTCATGGCTGGCTTTTCCTTTCTAACTTTCGAGTTTCGAGCTTTCCAGCTTTCGAGCTTTCACACTTTCACACTAATCTCCGTAGTCCCTAGACTACCTCACTCTAGATAGACTACCTTATGCATTTTCCCTTTCCCTCTACCGAGCACAGGTTTGTCCTCCATGCTGTGAAACTCGAAGCGTGCGACTTCGACATCGGTATCGCAAGACCAAGCTACCATCACCTTCCGTCCACAATCACAATCACCACCTCCTCACCCCTGCCTGCCGTTTCTAGTGATTTCGATATCTCCGCATATATGCAGGTGTGGATCGGCTATCATCGGACCCTTACTTCCTTCTTGCGTCACATCATTGGTGATAACCCCGCCAGACACTGTGCTCTGATTCGCTGCACCGAAGATGATAGTGCTTGCGCTTGGCCGGATTAGGAACGAAGTCCCCGACCCCCAACCCCACCTCAACACGCATTGGGTGGAAGAGATGTCGTTGCTGCGAACTGGGTAGTTTTGGGGCTTGGTGCGCGATGCAGGTATGCAGGCATGCGGGTAGGGAAGGATGCTTTTTAGGGGATTGGGGCGGGCGATGTGGGTGGGTGTCAGTGGTGTGTAGCGGCGGTAAGGTAGTTTTGAGCACGGGGCGCGTATTTCCTGGCATAGACCGTGCAGTGCGGTGCTGGCTGTTGAAGGAAGTGCTATGCGACACCCGATATCAAAGCCGCTCCTGAACGCAGTGCGGGAGAAGGGGGTCGAGTAGTACGATCGGGTGCGGCGGGCGTGCACTGACTCATATTCACCAGGCGTGCAAGCTCGTTCGACTCCCCGGACTCACTCGCTCGCGATTGAGCTTTAGTGATTCTAGGAAGGCGGTGGTTGCCGTTGCTGAGGGAGTTGTTTTCGGTGGAAGAGCGTCCACGGCACTCTTCAGACTGGGGATTGCCCGCTGCGCGTTGTATGCTTTACTGTATTTGAGTCGGGCGGGTGGGCTGCGACGCTTTGACTGCGGCGGTGTGCTATATATGAAGGGGTCGTGATACTCGTTGGCGGCTCGTCGTCGGTAGAGTCATTGGCGCTCGGGTGGAGTTGCTCTATGGTGACTCATTATTGTTCTTAGTCATCGTCATACAGTGCCGTCATGATACTCTATGGCGACGCGTCGTTGTTAGTTGACGCTCTGGTGGGGGATTAATGCTTTGAATGTGGCCGGGCTGCAGAGCTGTCGCGATACTGTATCAAGCCTCATCGTCGTTGTTACAGTCATTAGCGCTGTAGTGGGGTCTAACGCTTTGACCGTAGCGTTGTGCTACCGTGCTGCCGCGATGCTGTATGGCGACTCATCGTTGTGAGAGTCATTGCAATACAACGCCCGTAACGATGCGCTATGGCGACGCATCATCGTCGGAGTCATTGGCGCTCGGGTGGGGTATAAAAGGCGGTACGTTTGTCGCTCGGCTTCTTCTTCTTCTTCTTCTTCTTCTTCTTCTTCTTCTTTACCACCTGCACCTTCTACTTTCAGATCCTGTTCACACAGAAGAGTCTTCCACATCCAAAAGCAAACTTCCACTATACCGGCCCGGCTTTCGCTCACGCAATCGAATTCGAGAACCACAGCCACTGCGATAAGTGAACAGCATGCCACGAGTGCACGTCCCGCCATGGCACCCCTATGCACAAGTTGCAGCGAGTGTACTACGAGCTCGGCAGGAGCGGAGGTACAGAGAGCCATCTCCACAAGAGTACGAACAAGCCCCTGCGGACAACCCGGACACACAGATGGGCGGGGTGCCGGAGCCGCAACAAGTCCCAGAAGGGTCTCGGCCACCCTTTCTATTGGTGACGCCCCCACCTGACCTCCGCATTCCCGGCAATCAACTACCCCCCCATATTATGGAATACATGAGGCAATGCGAAAACGGAAAGCAGCCCATTGTTCATTATTCTTCCGGCGGAGAGTTCGAAGCCTCACTCGAGATGAACAGCGATAGAGTCTACCACGTGAAATGCGGTCCACTATGGTGCGGCGATTTGGACTGCAAAGAGGAGGTCATTTTGTGGCCTTACCCTCAAGAGCCACCGGACTGGACGCGTGACAAAGGATGGGAACTCCCTGACGGAAATCCGTTCAGGAAGTCTTACGAGGGTCGCTTGAGGCCGCATCTACCCTTTGTCTATGACGCGAGCCAGAACCGCATGTTCATGAGTCATGCCTTGGACGGATGGATTAAGTATCAGCAGGCTCTGGAAGCGCAGCAGCAGGCTCTGGCAGCGCAGCAGGCGCAGCAGGCACAGCAAGGCAATCAAGATGCAGGACCGTCCGGGACTTGAGTGCGGTCCTCGACATTTCTCAGGGCCTGGCATGCTTGCAGGGCTCATCCTATCCGAGATTTTTCCTCTCTCTGTCTCTCCTTATTGGATTGGTTAATATCTCAGATTGGTCTCTATCTTTCACTTCTTGAGCTAGGCCGGGCTATTACTCTCACTTTCTTTTCAGTCTTGGTCATTTTGTGGACTTCCCTTCCTGATTTTACTGTATGATAGACATTCTTTTCCTGGGAATAATGTATCTGTCATTGTACCCTATCTTAGTGCATGCAGACCCATAAGCACGTTTCCTGATTGCTTTCTCACCGCCAGATACTGGACTTCAGCACTGGGGGAGGAGATGAATTTACATTGTTTGGCCTATGCTTGTTGAATACTGGATGGAATCATCCGTTCAGAAAGCAGCCATGTTTTCTTCGTCATCTCAAGTCATTCCCGATGAGGCATTTACGTCCGAAAGTCTCACTACACTTACCTTTGGCAGGTCGTTTCACTTCGTACCCCCACTCCAAGAGCCACTCGCAGCCGCTCGACCGACAAGCAACCTCGAACACTCAGCATCGTAACAATCAGATCTTCCACTTCGACATGGCTGCTGTCTCACCGGTAATTATTCCTTTCTGCTTTAGTTGCCATCAATCTAACGCCTTGTATTACGGATAACGAAGAACACGCACGGCTAGTCTCGACGGCTCTTGCCAATCGTCGGCTCCTTCGAACTATGGCCACCCCAGACACTAGCCCGACCCGGCCTTGCGTCGAAGTTTCACGCCATTGCGCAGGAGCAAATGTAAACAAAGATCAAGGTGCGCCGCCTAGAACAAGACGCGTGTTCCGGTTCTGTGATACTACTAGGGACCCTTCTTGATCGTTCCGCCTCAGCTAAAAAAACAACGTCGCTCGTCCCGGTGGCCATCCGTTGGCATCGTTGCGCTTCCAATTCTCTCGATGGCGAGTTGACCCCGATGGACTTGAAGCGACGATCACTTCGAGCGCGGCCGAATATCGAGGTCTAGGTAGGTGGGCGGGCCTGGGCGAAGATGAAGGTGGGCATTGGAACAATGCAGAATGGACTATTAAATGGGCAAAGGCTTTGCGGCTGCACTTTGTAGGCTTATCTTTGCGTTGGTGCCTAATCAATTATATTCTCAACAAGCTCGCCGACGTCTCGCACACCATCGAGGAATCTCAATGGCAGGCCTTAGCATTCGCTTCAACTCTTTCCGGATGATGACTCATGCGCTTGGAAGGAGCTTGCTGATGCGGTGGTGAAGATGAGTCTGTATCAAAATCGTGCGGCAGCGAGCACGGAGTAGGATTTAGTGATGCGGAAGGATGGCTCTGCTGAAGTACACGCTCCATGCCTCTGCAACGGGCCAGCGTAGAAATGTAAGCGGTATAGCGTAAGTTCGATTCCGATTTTAATTGCTATCAATTGGGGCCAGAATCAACATGAGCATCATATACTTCACTAATGCTCGCATAGTAGGTTTCTCGGAACATCGAGTGGATATTTTATTGCTCTCTCTATTTATTCCTGCATTAAAAGAAGCTTTCCCTAATACCGTTGTAGGATCTCCTTTTAACATGATCTATATCCCATATACTCAAAACATTGATGGAAGGATCGTTCAAAATCACCCAAGTCATTCCCCCCCCGGAGCTGCAAATTTCTAGGAAGATATCTCTAGTTTTCCCCTCTTGCGAGCATCGTGAAGCCTAATTGGCCCCACTGATGTGCATGAAAATACAGGACCCTTAGACAAGAAAATTCATCCATCCCTTCCGCCCCTAACGCGCATTATATATGCCAATAAATCCACCATTCCCAAAAATAAAAGCAGACAATCGCTCCGCATTTCCATCTGCCTTACCACGACCCTTCTACCCCGCAAATACCCTAGTCATCCTCCTCCTCCTCCTCCTCCTTCTCCTCCTCCTCCTTCTCCTCCAGCGTCCAAGCCCCCGCCATCTTAACCACACGATCCAACTCCTCCAACCCCAACTCCACCCGCTCAAGCCGCACATGTCGCAAAATATCTATATGCTCAGTACACCACCTCCCCCAAAAATAAAAGCAGACAATCGCTCCGCATTTCCATCTGCCTTACCACGACCCTTCTACCCCGCAAATACCCTAGTCATCCTCCTCCTCCTCC